TGATATTGCAAACTCCTGGGCAAAAGAGTGTGTGTGTGTGTGAGAAAGAGAAAGAAAGAGGTGGGGATAGACAGAGCATGAAAATAAAATACCCGAAATAATAGATTTTGTACTGTTGGATGGTCAGATTTCTTAAAGGACGGATCGCCATTGTGGCGACGCGTCTCAAAAATATGAGGTAATTGAGAGTTAGTTGCTGTTGCTGTTACTGCTAGTACGTTTGTTCAAATAACAAGCATCGCATACCAAATAACGAATCGAATATTTGTAAACATTCTGGTGTTTCTTTGTTTGTAGCAACACGATGAAATGTCTCTTTTGCGTGCACCCGATTGTTATCCCGCTTTTGCGAAAAACCTGCTAGTGTTAGTCTTTTATTCTCACGCGTTCACTTCAAGCCGTGGTTTCATTGGACACTTTTGATAGCATTCAATTTAACTTCATTAATTACCACTAATTTCTGTCTCTCAAGCGCATACACACATGTACACGCTTTGCGCACTCTGTTCTATTTCTGAAAAAGGTTCACGTACTAAGTGAATCGCATTCAACTTGAATGAAGTGAAAAGTGTCAAAGGTCAAGTGAGCGAAACAGAAATACACGCGCTTCAAATGCATAAACAAACCGCAGCTGTGGGATATTTTGAGAAAAATTATGACAGCACAGCACGTCGGAAAAACTAATCAACTGATCACCGCCAAAGATTGATTGTTTTGAAAATATTTTCTTTCCATTTTTTTTCACACCGTATTCGTTGTCTCTCGCTGCTTGTTAGTAGCGCGACAAAGTAAACAAAATTTAACACGATGATTTTTTTACTCGTTCAAATAAACCAGAAACTAGTTTTAAATCCACTTATCGCTGTAAAACTAGAATCTAAGATTACAAATTTTGAAGAATGAAACGGAACGTCCGTTTTATTACAGCGTTTCTATTCAGAAAGGCCAAAGCACCGCACAAAACACAGAATAAAATGTACATTTTTATTTTATCGTTTATGACATGCTCGTGTGCTGTAATAATCGGAGAAGCTTAGACGGCGAGATTTTGAAATGTCGCGCACGTCAACCGCGTTTTGGTTTGTGTGCAATTATTATTTTTGCGAAGTGCATTGTTTTTTTTTATTTCTGTTTCTCTTCGTTGTTTCGGTTATTGCTGTACGTTTTTTTCTTCTTCATTTTGCTGGAGCGTGGAGCTGTTTGTTTCTTTTTTTCTTCTTCGGCCTGCAGTTTGCAATAGAATGGCGCACATGGCAAAACGTGTGCTACATGATTACGAGACACTTGAAGCGTGTTTGGTCTTGTACATTGTAACTGTTTTCGAGGGCGATCGAATTTTCATTCTGTTTTGCTCATGTCATTTTCCGGTGCTTTCTTCTCTTTTCCAAATGTAATTGCTTCTTATTTTATACTTGATTTTCTGCTGCATTTAGTAATATCACACGATTTTCTACTAGTTCCACCAATCAAGCGATTATATTGACTCTTACCTTCATGTTTTGAAATCGAAAATTGCCATCAACATTTTTTTTCCGGTTAAAACACTTGAAAACTGTTTGCTTTTGGGTAAGAATGATTGGGGGAGACAACAGCGATGATGATGAATTTTACCTCATTTTCTTTCGTTTGATCTTCTCGGCTTCGAGTCATGCGATATGAAAAATTCACTCAACCGTATTCCGTTCGGCTTTAGCATGATTTTTTTTTATTATAAAATTTGACACATCTTTCATGTTTCATAGACGTTAAAGTCAACACGGACGTCCAACGAATAAACAGTAATTGATTTTGATTGTTATTGACTTATGCTCATCTTTTGCATGTTACCTGCATGACAAGGTCTTATCCATTGCAGAAAAAAAAGAAATCGTAAACAGTTAGTTGGTCAGTCTGTCATATAGATTCAACCGACCTATGTGATTACCTTTTTTGCATTACTTTGGTTTTACAAATTTTACAAATTGTATGCCCCTCCAATAACTGAGATATCAAAAATTTACTTTCTTCTCAATGCGCTAGTAGCATCAATAACCCAGAACAAAGATTTCTTTTTTTTCGAACAATGTTAAGAGAATTTAACAAACGTGGAATGCTTTGTATACTGATACATGTATTTGCTTGGAACTTGGTTGACCGAAGCGCCATCTGAAGAACCGATGGTCATTAGCCTTAGATTATCTAGGTGGTGTTTGCGCTCAATATCAGTTGTCAAAGTCAAAAAGAATAGGACCGTTGGAATTTAATGAATTTGTACCACACTTCGGAAACATGAAAAGTTTGGTGTGACATTGTACCTTGCTTCGAACATTCAAACTTTGAACTGTCGCATTTTTTAATGCACTTACCCAGTTTTTAGCATGACAAAGTTATTTATTTTAATGATTATGGACTTCGGCGACATTCGTCTCATATTGAATAAGTTTGAAACAGTGTCTTGTCCATTGTATGTTTCATCCCAAAATACCATCAGTCATTAGCTGTCCCATGGATATACGGAGAGCCCTTTTACATGAGTTCATGAGTTCATTAATTTGCTAAAATATTGTTGAATTTTTTAATAACTTTTTTCGAAGTTAATTTGAGATCAACCGTCAAGGCATTCACATCGAAGCTACAAGTAGTAAAACACATAGTTGGCATTTGTTCTTGGTACATTTTGCCAATAGGCTATTGCAAATTCAGTATAATGCTTAAATTATGTATTGTGTTTATTGAACTGTTTTTCCTCGTGAATTTTGTGTCATCTTCCGATTTGAATGAGTGGAAAGTAAAGAATATAGAATGCAGAAGTTTTTTTTCCCTAAAAATAATCTTTTTTTCTTATCATAGTCGGAACTAGATTCGCAATTGTGGAAGTTTCGCTTGAACAGCATTTCTAGCATGAATGATTTACTCAAACGAAGAAAGGATACAAATGGAGGAAATCCACGTCAATTTGGAGTATGCATAAACTAAGTTAATTTATGTGTCAATGTAATAACTCTCTTCTAATCTGTACGAATTAGACGACAAAAACTAACACGTGGAAGGAATCACTTTAATTCTCCGTGCATCGAATCCAGAAGACAGTTTTTCAGTGTAACACACGATCTTAAGAGAGAAAAATGGCGTGCTATGATGGTAGAGGTGTTGGAAAAACTGACTCAAAATAAACAACCCCATATTAAGCTCTGATATCATTTAATTACAGAATTTCTTTTTTAACTGAAAAAATTCATTCAATAAAATTTATTCAGTAAATATTGACTGCAGAATTGTCAATGATCATTTAAAGCAACCTCTGAATTACAAACTTAAAATAATTGACTGGCCTTAGCGAACTGCTGTTAAAAGTGGCACTTGAATCCGTTGCATGGAAAAGTGACATTTTAAAACGATAGTACACAAACACAAATCTTTATACTGTTGAAGTGTTTGCTTTTTCAATGGCGTGGCTTTTTCTTGCATGCGACGGACTTAACCAAATGAATTTTATTAGTTGATCTGCTTTCGTGTCTGGCAATATAAAAAGTGCACTCAACCGTATTGTTTCTCTCTTATAACGATTTTTTGATTATGAATTCTGACACATTTTTCTTGTACATTAAAGTCAGCACGAGAGTTTAACGGATAAACAACTAATTGAGTTTAATTGTTATTGACTTCCACTCATCTTTGGCACGTTACCTGCTTGACAACGTATTGTTCATTGTGAAAAAATAACGTGAACATTAAACAGCATGTTCGGTAATTCAACACCGAATTCGACTTTTTCGTTTATTTACTCTCCATCTAAGAGATGTTTGTTCATGCTTTCATTGATAAAAATTTGAGGAAAATCGGTTTGTTGCATACAAATTTCTGCATAATCTTGTCGAAATAACGTTGTTGGTAAGGTAAAGCAAGGCAAGCACAGAGCTGTGCACCAGATTGATATAAAACAATTGATTTTCTTTTTATTTTGTTCATCTTTGGCAAAAAGTCTCATTCTTTCTTTTATTAATTTCTCCATTGTACGAACGAAAGAATGAAAAAAGTAAACTTACAAAAAAAATAAACGAATTATGGTGTAATGAAAAAAAGAAGTCTTTTGTTTCAAAATGGAAATTAATTTTTTTACACGAAATGAAGATGGACACTTGTACATCATTGATACAAACTAGATCGAATGCTTACCAGACGTGTGCAAGGGGGGGGGGGGTATTCCGGTTTTTCCCCCCCTCTAGGATTCCAAAATGTGGACCCCCCCAGCGATTTGGAAAATTTCACACTAGATATAATCGATTTTTAAAAGTGAGGACCTTTTTTTTTTAGGTCTTCACTTGTTTTTTGACACCCATTGGCAAAATTTTAGACCCCCATTGTGGAATTTTGACTGTTTTACACTAGATAGAATCGATTTTAAAAAGTGAGGACCTTTTTTTTTTTTTTAGTCCTCACTTTTTTCGGAGACTGGTTTACACTAGATAGAATCGATTTCCAGACCCCCCCTGGCAAAATCATTTTACCCCCCCCCTAGAATTTTTGACCTTGCACACGTCTGATGCTTACGAGCAAATGAAATGCAATTTTTTTTTTTCACTTAAAAAACCGATCGTACATTAATTAAATGTCACATTTAAATCATTAATGGTATTTCATCGTTAGTTTGGCATTCATTTGAATCGATGAATAGCAGGATCGTGGCTAAAATGTGCGTAAACATTGATTGCATTCCTGTGCTATTTACCAACGTGATTCTGGTTGTTTAATAAGTCTTGCGCAATATGTCCATTTTCATGGGTTTCGAAATTGTTATAATAATTGTATCCGAATAGAGATCGTAACCTGTATAAGAGAGAGAGAGAGAGAGAGAGAGAGAAAAAAAGAGACGAGAAGAAGAAGAAGAGATAATAAAAATGGTCATCAGTGAGAAAACATGGAATAATTATAACGATTCTCTCAACTAATTGGATAAAAAAATAGAACCTAGGGGATTGATTTAGGAGATAATGCTAGAAGCCATTTAAAGGTGTTTGATATTAATGATAAGGTGCATAAAGTCTTTATTTTTTTTCTCTTCATATTGTTATTATAGTTCACAATTCGTTGCCTTAAAGTACTTAAAAAGCATTTTACGTGTGATTGTTGTATGATATGAGTCAGTGCTGATCAGTGTTATGCTTGCAACACAGACAATTTAGAAATTAACAAAAAAACAAAAAGAAGTTTCGAAAAAAAGGTGAGCTACTTGAAAGGATGTTATCTACGCTAATGGAAAAAAAATTATTCTTCGAATTGGTTAAAAAATGAAGTGATAAATTGCTTTGATTTAAATATACATATACATACTAAAATAAATAACACGTTAAATGCCGAAATTAGCTTAGTCACATTCTAAATACTACAAACTAAAAATAAATAAAAAAAAAGAATAATGACACTAAACTGGGTTATTCTCAATTTTGATTTTACACACATAATGAATTAAATTACTCATTGGAAGAATTGCTTTATTTCTCATATATGTATATATTTGTTTCCCTTTCTACTGCCCTTTTGGAACGAAATCTACGTTTTAATAAACACGATTGAGTTTTTTTCTTTGTGACTTTTGTAATTGTGATCAGTTGCCATAGGCATATAAACACATACATAAAATGTTTAAAAAAAAAAACAAAAAAAAAATGCTCGTTTGCTTTGAAATTTATGCGCACACAATAAATTAAGTGATAAGATTGGATGCGTGATGAATCAATTGATAAATGACACATAATTTGTGAATATGATATAATTTTCAACTAACCGATTGCATAGTTCTTGTCGAACAGTGGCCGTAAATTTATTCACTAGAAAAAAGATGGAAAAATTGAATGATTGTTGGAAAACGGTCTATTTCGATTCATATTTGATTTTATCTCTCAAGCAAATCAATTTACCTAAACATAATGTGGTGGTGCCCACAAAAATTACATTGTACAATAGAACAATTTGGAAACTGCCCAGCCATTCGATTTCACCAAAGTCGCCCAGCAAATCGAAATTTGTGATTCCTATAAAAGCAAATGACAATTGAAAACGGAAGAGACAACGAAACAAAAGATTAGAAACGAATGTAATTGAGCGTAATTGATGAATGTGATATGTTTTAGTGTGTTACGTACCCAAAATTCTTGATAAAAGCGGCAATGCCGAGCTAAGTATTAAAACCAGTGCTCCGTTGACGATGAGTTGGGCGAGTGAGGTTTTGTGTCGTTGTGGCCGAATGCTCTGCATGAATGGCATTGTGTACAGGCCAACGGTTGATGTGGCGCACAAATAAAAGATGATTAACACTTCGGTTGCGGCTCCAATCGGTCCAACTTTTGACAATGATGTGATGCCCAATGTGAATTGCTGCAATAAAATTCAACGATTGCCGTGTTAGAAATACGTTGCCGTTTTTGGATTCAACGAAATTTAGTTTCTACGAAGCAAATCAATTTACCCTTGTGCTGAGCGGTAACGCTTTGATACCAATCAACAGCTCCAATGTATTTTGGACGACAACTAAAACGGTGACACCCGTTAGAAATAGCAACATTAGCATGGCCAATGGATAAATCAAATTGCGCTGAATTGCCGTCGAACTACGTAGTTTATCCAATTCTTTGCGTTCGATTCGCAATTTGTGCAGTCTTTCATGTAGCTCATCACATTCCAAAATATTTGTCGAATAGTCGGCGGTGTCACTGGGCATGTCGTCATCAATAATTGCCTTGCTCGGATGATTCTTATGATTGAAACTAATTGTGTTTAATGGTTTACGGTTGCGATGACGCAGCAATGATATTGTTAGCGAACCAAATGCTTTTGGAATGGAATTTATATCACAATATTTGGATGGTTGTGTTGATGCAATGCTATTATTCGTGGATAATTTGGTGGATGTGATTGTCTGATTGTATTGCAAATTTTCAATTTTTCGTAAAACACTCGCCTCCTCCAAGTGCGACGCATGATATTCTTCATTGACGTCACGCATTAAGTGTGGCTTCACTAACACCTGGCCAACGACCCCGAATAATCGGATAAAACCCAACGGCGTGCATACTAGCCAAGCCAATCAAGAAATGGACAAAAAATGAAACGAATGCAATTAGTTGATATTTTTTATGAATTTTGAAAGGAGAAGAGTAAAAAATACATACCCAATAACAAGAGCACTCCAATAAATGAAACACATGAATATAAAAATGGTAGGTGATACGATCCCAAATCTGGAAAATACACAAAAATTGATTGAATAAAAAAGAAACGATACTTATTCGCTATATTTGGATACTTTTGACGATACCATCGACACATCTAATATAGAGGTGTTTTGGATGAGTAAACAAAAACTCGGCATTCATAAACACTTACTTAATAGCGTTTGTATCCCTCTCTTCTCTGGATAAATAACGGCTGATACAACATAAGTGATGCCTAAAACGACAACAGCTAAAAGTGAGAACACGGTAAATGTCTCATATGCTCGCGATATGATCCCCTTTTTATGGCCGAAAAATCCCGACGACTCGGCAAATAGATATGAGAATGGAAGCAGCACAAACAATGACAAATTTGAGAATAGAAACACATGATTCCACAGTCCTATAAATATAATAAATAATGGGTGAGAGAGTGTTGGCAAGGTTGCAAATCAAATGTAATTTATGAGTATGCGGGAAGTTGTATTGAGTTTGTTTATTTAAGAAGATAAGGTAGAGGTATGCACATTAAAACAATAACAATAAAATTACCGTGAACCAGCGAACTATTCAACCACTTAACATAGTAACTGAGCGGGTATAGAAGCAACACTTCATTGCTAGCAATCGATATGGGCAACAGCAATGCCGCACATATGGCAACGGCTAACGAAAATGTGCACAGCCATAGGCTGAAAATGGAAAAAAATTAATCGAAATTAAGTTTTGTGTGAGAGAATTTGATGTCATTTGAAATTGAATGAATGCTGCGCCAGGGAGATCTAGCTACTATAAAATTTATGGCGATTGTTAGATAAATCGTGAGAGTCAATCACATACCTTATTTTATATACTAAAACTTCATCGTCGTCGGTGGAGCATAGATCTTCCTTATCACGACGACGAAATCGACCGATCAATGCAAACGAACCAACGTACAACAATATGAACAGCAACAAGAAAATCTGTAAACAAAGCAGATAAAAGAAATCATATTAAAAAAAAACGAATCAAATCAGAAAAATATCAAGCGCAAAAAATTATGCACAATGTCAGCGAAAAAATGGCCAACGAGTTGAGTCAATGCTATTTTGTTAAGCGTAAAAATTGTAAATAAACATCTAACTGTTGTGACCATTTATTTTGCGTCAATTTACACGCTGAAAATGGATTGCGATTTAATAAAATCACATCCAATGAAATCGAACGGAATGTAATCTCTGTAGAAAAATGAGGCTTTCTGTATTATCCGAAAGTTACAATTATCACCGCATATTTTTGGAGTAATGCGCAATTATTCAAATGACCACCGGAATCCGAGCGAATATATTTTGTTATTATTGAATACCAGAAGGAAAAAAAATGCCAAACGAATGGAACTGTTGATTTTTTGAGGTCAAGTCCATCGCATCACACATTTATCATTAGATTTCACTCGACGTATATGTGTGTGTGTTTTTATACGCACATCTCATCTCTTTCACTCGAGACACATCAAGCAATCGCTCACTTTATTCACTGTGTGTGTGCTTTTTTTTTGTTCATTTCTTCTTGTTCTTCTCGCGATCAAAAAGCAATTTTTCAAAACAAAAAAAAAATCAACTGAACGAGAGATTATGTGCCTGTTCAATGGCCAAGATATATTAAAGACTTTACTTTCATTTTAATGCGTCAGCATCAACACACAGCATATCAAAAATAAAAAAAATTCTTCTCTTTCTTCATTGCTGTCGAAGCAGAAAGAAAATAAAACAATTCTATTTTCGACGCATAACATTCCGTTGAACAATTGAAATTCGTTTATGTCACACATTTCGAATAAAATGCCACATTTATCATTTCGGCCAAACACTTAACACAATTGTCAATGGTATTTGTTTGTATAGTGAATTGAATGATCGAGAAACTACTTACGATTTGTTCACGAACAGTGTTGTGAAACATTTGTTCGCGAATATCTGTGACTTCATCATCTTCATCGAGACCAATCTCCATAATGATTCTGTCCGTTGTTCTGAAAGCGTTTACTCGAACTGTTGAATGATATGTTGCGGCAACAGCAGTATTGTATGGTTCACCGTGTGTGCAGAAAAGAATCAATTACTTATGTCGATTGCAATGTGTGTACGGTATCGGTTTCACGCTTCACTTTCTCTGCTGCGCCTTAAATTAATATGCAAGATCACATGAAATGCGAATAAACAAATGCAATAGCTGATTGGAAACCACGGTGACTGGGCCTGATTTATATACATATATATGCAATGTATATGTTTCTTTCTGTTTTCCTCTATATAGATGTTTGTCGTCTGTTCCTTTGTAATAATTGGCAAACCTATTATTATTCGTTCGTTTGTGAACTGCTCATTTGTTTACTTCACGCTTACGGACCCAGATACAATGCAACGAGGAAGCAGCCCGACGAAATCACAACGTTCGCATTATTTGCTGCGACAAACAACGCACCGTTCACATTCACCGTTCGATCGGATTTGGTTCATTTTTCAGCGATTTACATCAAATTTGTACGGAATCTGCATTCAGCAGTTCAACAACGACAGGAAAAAAAATCAACGACACACAATTTTCAATAAAGAAATTCAAAAGAGACTAAACACACGACACACACAATAAGACGAACAAAAAAAACATATACCAACGGCCACAAAATGACACAATGCACGCGAATTGCAACAATGTTGTGATTTTTTTCAAAATAAACACGTAAGTTCCAACCCGTGCTCTGTTGCTACACCCATGAAAATATGCACGTTTTTTTTTATTTACTCGGCTTCTCTATAACTAGAAACCAGACTGAATGCAAACGAATGGGCACACACAAATTCTTTAAATGGGTATGACAATAATCACAGAGTGTTTTTTAATAGCGTTTTGTTTTTTGCAATTTAAATGTTTTTTTAACAGACACTCCTTCTGTCGATGCAAACTCTGGCTGATGCAATATTTCGACAAGCCCGTATTTATTTGATATTTTTAGTTCGGTCAAATCGGTTAAGTTCAGAATTATCGTGTCAACAATTCGATCGAAATGATTCCAAGAAATTTTCTTGAGAAACTTGTGTATCGATCTTCACCTCTTCACCAACTCACTATAATGTCCGATTGTCTCTTTGTTACCATTTCACTAAAGAAAAAATGAAAAAAACTTCTCGCAGCAGAGAAAAAACGATTTCATTTTCCCAAGAGTCACATTATCACAACCACTTGAAAAATCGAACATTTTTATATCCACATCACACCAAAATGTTTCTGTCCAAAACACATTTCTACCTTTCGTCTGATACTTCTTGCGATGGGTTCCCAATCACAAAATTGCATTTGAATAATTTATTATTTACATCGCATGTAGCACACCATTCAGGTTCTTGACTCTTGTATCACCTGCTGCTGCACGAATACACGGCACGTATTGATGCGCTTTAGCATTCGAAAGAGAAGAAACCGATTAAAATCAAACTCAGAATATATTTCGTTTCGTTTCTTTTCTTTTCGCTGTGGACTTGAGTGTGTGTATGATATTTCGACGTTTCTTTTTCTCTACCTCTTTCTTTCATTCGTCGACGACGATGAATGCGAACACATTGTTTTCAAAACTGTATATGTAAAGATGATGTGTATCTCTTTTACTGGACACATACAAATGTACGACACATAGAATGCGAACGAGATGAGTATGTTGTTTGTAGAGTAGCGTTATTCGACTGTTGTTGTTGTTGTCGTCGTCTTCGTCGTTGATTCGTTTTTTTCTTCAATTTCTAATGTTCGTTAGTGTGTGCGTCGTTTTTGTCCCGTCAGTTGAACAGCTGCCTTCGGGCGAATTCACATACCATTTAAAATGTACGACAATTGGAGCAAACACGCACATTTCGCCGCAACGGCACAGCTGTCAGAACATTCACCAACTCGCCTTCGTTTTGATTTCGGCGAAATCAACGATTGATTATTTGTTCGTGATGAACAATTTGCTGTTAGTTAAAAAGTTTGGCGAAAAAATCATTTTTCTTCTTTTTAATAAAATTGATGGGAGATGCTCAGTTTGCTAAAATGAAAAAAGAATCAATGACAATTCATACGATTTGACACATGAAACCATAGCAATGCCATAGACTCCTATGATTGTATAATCGATACGCAACAAACAACCGGTATATTGTTCGAATCAATACAAACGGTAAATATTCAGCTTTACATTTTTCATCCATTTTGGATTCATATTCAAAGGAAAAAATGGAAAACATTCCAAAAATGATGCATCGTCAGCAAACTCAGGCTGGTTTGGGAAAAGATGGAGACGATTTTCGACAATTTGAAAATAAAATCGACGAAGTGTTGTATTTGCTGAAAGGAATGAACAATTGTGATCGAAAGCACTCGACAGCTGCATTAGATCTTGGCAAAGAGTAAGAGCTCAACCGAGAATTCTCTCTTAGATTGTTGCCGATGTCAAATATTTTCACTCAAAATCGATTCAATTTTCTTTTCTTATCAAAATTCAGCAGCAAATTATCTGCCGATGATTTTGTTGTGAAAATAACCGAAAACCGTACCGTTATAAATAAGGAAGCCAAAGTGGAAAATTTCGTATGTATCTGTTTTAATTTCAATCTATGGGCTGAAAATGATAAAATAGTATTTCTTTTGCTGCAATCAAAACATAGAATGAAAAAGAACAAATGGAGAAGCTCGCATTTATGCAGGAAGTGGAACGAGATGCTGCTCGTCGAGCCGAGGAACGAAAAGAGCGTGAAGCAGTGGCTCAGAATTTGCGAAAGTAATTACACTTTTTGATAATACTCATCTGGTTTTGAGGCTTATTATAATGGTCACTCAATTTTTGTTGTTCTCAGAATGGGTAATGAAGCCTTCCGGAATGGTGAATACGAAAAAGCCATTGGCATGTACTCGAAAGCAATTGATCAGGTCAAAGATAGCCCCGTTCTGTATAACAATCGAGCATTGGCTTATATTCGGTTCGTAGAATTATTAATCTTTCGTCTGCAGTTAACCGTAATAAACACTTGTTCCTTTTCTTTGAGGTAGACTCGGGTTGTATAAAAAGGCGGTGATTGATGCGGATTTTGTGTTGCAAAAATTGGATGAGAAAAATGTTCGTTCATGGTTATACCGCGCTAAAAGCTATTATCTATTGGGTGAAAGAAGGGATTTCGAAAAGAGCGTGAACGAAGCAAAAAAGAATAATCCAAAAGGATTGGATTTCATTGAGAAAACTGTAGCAAGCATTTTGGAAAATAAAACCATTTAAAAATGTACAAAATCAGGACATAAAAACCTCATAGTACATAACTGTACCATGACAATATTTGATTTGAATGAATAACGGCGCGTTCACATTAGCCCATCGGTACGCGTGTGAACCAAACAAAATGGCAATACCATGTAATTTGACATATAAAACTTGGAGTTGATTGAAAGTTGTCATTCAAACAAAAATAAAGTGAGAAATTTTTTTGTTGCACTGAACGATGAGAGAGCTGGCAACTGTTTTTTGATTTACTTATTTAATAAGGGAATGATAAGTGAGTGTTTGATCATTTGGACGCATTCAAACGCGAGTCATTCATCAAATTTATTTCGTCTGAATTTGTGTGACAATTCGTTGTAATGGATTTGTTGACGCCAAAACTTGAAGTGTTTACCAATCACGATACGGTAATTGACGATACAAATAACGACAACAACGGTTCGTGTACGAGTGTACGGCCACGACGAATACCAGCCACAAAACCGATAGTGAAAGAAGAAACCAAAACTCCGGTGAAAAAGTACAAAAAGAAGCGTCAACAATGCCCACAATGTCCGATGACCTATTCGAAGCGAGAGTATTTATCGAAGCATATGAACACTGAACACGATATGACACTGGAGAAAAAGCGACCCGGCCGACAATCTCAATTCCATTTTCCGCACGGTGACGACGATCCACGTCCATACAAATGTGATCAATGTGTCAAAGAGTATATAAAATCAAAGCACTTGGCCCGGCACAGGCGCACACATTTTGAAAGCAAACATTGCACTGTGTGCAATGAAATCTGTAGCAATTTTGCCGATCATATGCTGAAAAAACATGGCATCGATCTGCCACGACCATTCGAATGTGATATATGCCATAAACGGTATAGAACAAAAACGCACATATCAACCCATATGCGAATTCATAAAGCAGCTAGCCGCCTGTTTGCCTGTACCGTTTGTACGAAAACATTTTTCTTTGCCACCGATCTACGGAAACACGTGAAAACCCATTCAAAAAACCGTTCGGTAATTTGTGATATTTGCGGAGACGCTTTCAAATCAGCCGACACACTGAAATGCCATTTGCGGCGACACACTGGTGAACGACCATATAAATGGTATTTACAGATATTTTGTTGTGAAACACATCCCTGATTTCTGATTTGTAAAAATTGACACAAATTCTTTGTATTTCAGTTCACAATGTCCGCGCGCCTTCAGCACTAGCAACAGTTTGGACATTCACATGCGAACGCACACTGGAGAAAGGCCGTTCCAATGTGAATTCTGTGAAAAACGATTCAGTGACTCGTCAACGCTGCTCGTGCATAAGCGGCTGCATACAAATGAAAATCCCTATATGTGTCATCTTTGTGGCCGTCGCACGAAACAAGCCTCAAATCTACGTTCCCACTACAAGCATTTCCATAAAAACAATGACATATCGGGTCGACAGATTCGCATGAACTCACGAATATTCAGTCGATTCGCACAAGGTGAAATCGATACCGAATTGCAACAAACGGGTGATTTGATGGCGCTATTGGAGCGCGGCATGCAGGACTTTGATCGTGAGGAAAAGGAGAAAAATAGTCAAATCGAAAAAGCATTGAAAACGATAACCACACCACAAGTGAAACCACCGATGGCGATAAGAAGTAAGAGTTATTTTTGATACAGAAACATTGCCTGAAAACGGGTTTTAAGTCAAAATTTGATTTTATTGCAGCTGAAATGAATACCGTGAAATATGACGAGGTCAACCCAGCGGATCATGTCGAAGTAAAAGTAAATGTGAAAGAAGAAGAAACAGTTGAACCAAGTTCAGCAGCAGTGAAAAAGATAGGAAACGCAACGAAATCCAAAGCGAAGCAATGTCCAAAACCTAATGCACCAGCCATGATTCGATGGAGTTCGTCGTCGGTAGCGACGCAGTCACACAACGACTATTCCGAAGATATAAAAGACATTCAACCGAGTTTTGACGATAATCTAGCGTATGATCCAGTGCCAATACCAGTGAACAAAGGTCCGCTAAAAATTGAAAGTGTATTTCTTGAAGATTCACCCTATCCACAGCATGAAATTGAGATCGTTTCAATTGACGATGTGAAAAAAGAGGCGATTTCCGATGATGACGATATTTGGGCGAACGAAAATTACGATGATTCGTCAGATGAACCATTCCAGATTATTAAATGTGAATCTCTTATCGATGAAGGTGGCAAGAAGGCAGCCATTACGAAAGCGACCAAGTCATCAAATAAAGCGTCCAGTAAATTGACGACAAATAATGAGATTAAACTTGAAAAGATAGAAAAATACGATGAAGACGAAATGGATGCAATAGAACAGAAGATATCGCCGCGGCCGAAAATGATCGCACCAAAGACAGAACGGGAACGATGCATACCGTGCAATAGAAAGTTTCACGATATGGCCAAGCATTGGGTGCAATTCCATTCGGGCATCGAACGACCGTACGAATGTTTCATCTGTCACAAGGACTATAAACGTTTCGAGCACCTTAAATACCACATGAAAACGCATGGCGATGAACGAAACTACATTTGTCATGTGTGCGGCGATGCATTCTTCTTGAGCAACGATCTGAGAAAGCACATAATGAATCGGCATCAGGTCGAACGGCCGTTTAAATGTACGTTTCAGCAATGTAAAAAATGCTTTAAAAATCAACACGCGCTCAATGTGCATTCGCGAACGCATTCGGGCATAAAACCATTCGTATGTGCCGTGTGTTCAGAAACCTTTGCCGCGTTAAGCTCGTTGAAGATTCACGAACGAAAACATACCGGAGACAAGCCGTACGTGTGCAAATTCTGCAATAAAGCATTCGCTGACTGTTCAACACATCGGCAGCACGTTCGTATCCATACTGGCGAAAAACCATATCGTTGTCATTTGTGTGATCGACGAACGGCCCAAGCGGGTAATCTGAAATCACACTATCGCCACTATCACAAAATCATTGTGAAAAGTGTCAGCATGTTCATGGATCCTAATTCAACCGTTCCATTCGCCAGTCAGGAGATTCAACGAGATCCATACGAACAAAATCATCCATTTGCCCCATACCCACTGATGAATCCATCGAGGCGAATCGAAGAATAAATAACTCAACTCATAGATTTGAAGAAGAAAAAAAATTAAATTACCTATATTTTACTGTTATATACCTGTACATCCTTGATTTACTTGTACTGAATCAATTAAAATACACAATTTGATAAGTTTGAGAAGAAAAAACCTTTTTTGCGCTTATTTTTCATTCATATTTCAAATTCGCCACAAATCTTCCGATAGGGACACAGGAGGATTGAGAGCTAGGTATGTATTATGGACACATACACACACATGTGCACGACATATATAAACATATAGTTTGACATGTGCGGCTTTGACAGAATTCGAATTATGAAAACACTAGATAGATTTTGGTTCGGAAAATAGTTTTTTTTTCAATCAAAATTTGGGAATATTAGAAGAATTCACAGCGAAGTGCAAATCTTTCAATATGTCAAAATACCGAAAAGAGGTAAGTTATTCAATTATGTAAAATGATCATGTGACAATTGACGAGTGTTGCGTTTTCCTAGGTTTTAGCCATATTCAAACAGCTACATGTAACACGCCAAAAACTATTCCAAGGCGATGAACCGAATCTGGCCAAGGCTCGAGCAAAAATTAATGAAGAATTCAAAAATCATAAAATTGTCAAAAGCGAAGACGAAATTCCGGAACTAATTGATGTGGCCAAACAAGTGGAACACTTCTACCGAACCCAAGTTGTGCAAGCGGTTCAGGTGGGCGAAAACAAGCATAGTACGTTACCTGATTTTTTTTTAATTTGAAAATAATAAATGGAATTGGTTAAAATGCACATTATTGAAACGGTGTCCATATTACAGGATTAGTCATTCGAGAAGACACGGAAAAACTAGACAACAAAGAGTTTGACGAAAAAGCCAAATTGCCGAAGCAAGGACGTGCAAAACAATGTTGCAAAAAACCCGAATGAAACGCTTCTGTCGCCTATGGATATGTTGATTCATGTCATTGCAAAAGATGCTATGTGCTTAGTTGAACTATTGTAAATTATTATTTGAAATTTGTCCTGCCTGGAGGAAAGTTGTTTATAAAGAGAATTTAGTCAGTGCTTCAGAGGAAAAAATGTATTTTTTTCGCTCAATTAAAAGATAAAACCAAAGAACAAAACCCATGGCATATCAATTATCGAAAAAATGATGACATTTATTAACAGCACAAGTCGGAGAAGGAAAAATGGTAATTTTGCAGTACCTTTAGAGCGAGCTGAAGTGCTGTGTATGTCTGCTAGTATGTGTGTATGTATGTATGTGTGCGACTCATAGCAGTCGAATGGTAAACAAAAGTCGAAGGCGAATGCAGACCTCAACTGTCAAACAAAGAATTTGAACAGATGTTGGTTGCTTATCGTTCATTGTTTGTGTCCCCTTCTAGGGATATTGCATGCATGGCCCGCGGTGCGCATGTGAGCAACAACAATATCAACCATTGCAAACAAACTAGCTCACCGTGTACACAAACCAAACATGAACAAAACTCACAATCAGCATTCAGCTGGAGAGTTCATATTGATTTTTCGTTGTTGTTAAATTTGTTGTGTTCGAATAGCAACATCAACGCTTATTCAGCGACGGAATCGAATTAAAGTTTTGCTATTAAAAATTGTGTGCAAATAAATTCAATACGAAGCGATAAAAGCAACGTTCTTTTCGATTTTCGAACGTGGTGAGTGCAAATTTGAAAAATTTCTACTGTGTTTGCTGTACTGATGCTTGGTGCACTAGTAATAGATGCTTTGTATGTGTGTACGAATCGAAGCGATAAATTATTTGCGAATTTTGGTTTTCATATGCGTGACAAATGGATAAGAACCAATTGAAAATGTCTCGACAATTTACGTCAACACACATTGCGACTTATGTCGTGTACTTGATCACTTTATCCGATAAAAAAAGTATGACACATACAGCCACTGCGAAGCTTTTCAATCACGCACTATCGTCAATGTTGTTCTGTGTTTCTAGTTTTTCTAGTATTTTTTTCTCTTTTCTTTTTCTTTGTCAATGCGCCGATGAGTCATGCGAAATATTTTAGCGAAAATTCCAACGTTCTCAAACTCTTGGCGTAAACGTTCTATTTACATTTTGCCGTTCATTTTTTGTGTTACAGTTGCTAAGGGATAACGAGCCATTTTAGCCACACCGAAAAGTAGAACGAGAGAAATAAAACAAACGAAGAAGATCAAGCCATGGCTTTGGACTTTGCAGCAACGTACAAAGTGCTAGTGTTAGGTGATTCGAATGTGGGAAAAACATGCATCGTACATCGTTATTGCGACGAGAGGTACTATGATACTTACATATCAACCATTGGTAAGTAAATTTGGATACCTTCTATCTTCCCCCTCTCTTTCTCTCTCTCTCTCTCTCTCTGGTGTATGCGTCAAAAGATAACACGACTGTTGTCACATTCTGCAGGTATCGATTTCAAGCAAAAGCTCATCAATTTGGACGGAGTACCAATTAAATTGCAAATATGGTAAGAGCATATCGATCCATTTAGTGATACTGAATATCCCTTTTTTGTTCTCAATCAAAATGAAAAATGATTTTATCGAATTCTTCATGGTGTATGTGATAATAGGGATACAGCTGGCCAAGAACGCTTTCGAACGCTAACCACAGCCTATTATCGCGGTGCAATGGGTATTCTTCTCATGTATGATGTGACCAGCTTAGAATCGTATAATAACCTATCGTATTGGCTCAGAAATATTCAAGAGGTAAGTGAAAAAAAAAAATGAAAAAAAAAAAATGGAAATTGAGAAAGAGTGAATAAATGATGTTGGATTTGTAGAATGCTGCACCAGACGTAGTTAAGGTATTGGCAGGGAATAAATGTGAAGCTCCAGCTACACAACGCGCCGTTGATAAAGAACGAGGCATGAAGGTAAGTTTCACTTTGGAAATCTCATTCGACTCAGTAGCTTCAAAAAATTTTTGAACTCAGGAATTGGTTGCAAATATCCTTCGCTTTTTAGAGCGGCCATCCAATCAAAATCTTCAATTTTTCATACATTCTCTTTGTGTTTTCCTGGAATTTAGATAGCGGAAAATTTCGACATGCCATTTTTCGAGGTATCTTGCAAGCAAAATATAAACATAGAAGAAGCATTTCTAACATTAGCACGAAAAATTCGCGAGCAACGAGAACAAAAAGGCAATAGTTTTGACGAAGATGATAAACCAAAGAGTAAACGATCGCCTGGTTCAAATGGTCTCGGCCCCTTCACGTTAGGTTCAAATGGCGAAAGTGGACGATGTTCCTGCTGAACATAACTGGGTCAAAAGCACACAAGCACACATACACAGAACACACAAAAATTCATCTTTATGCATCTTGACCTGAACGTATATTTGTTACGATAGCAATTTTTCGTAATTGGCTTGCCCAAACTAAGTCGATTGAAGCTAGTGACATCACGAAAAAAAACATTTAATTATTGTAATGTGTAGGATTCTCGTTTTTTATAAGATTTATTAGGATTCCTTGAGTTGAGCCAAAAGAAGAAGAAGAAGAAACAGAAAAAAAACATTTACCGACATTTCAATTTGATTTAGTTGACATTGGTTTTAATTTTTCGGTCAGATGAAGGTATTAATTCCAATGCACGTGAGTGAAAAAAACAGCCCAAAAATGAGAATGGAAACGAAACACCTCTTTTACCTTCTGAATTTTCTCCTGAAATCTAAACCAAAATCTACTTTCTGTGATAGCGACTGATTAGTGCGTTTTCTTTCATTAAGAATCGAACGGGAATGAATACAAACTGGAATTTTATCGTAACAATTTATCTGTTTTGGTTTTGAAATGGCATATTTTATCAAACATACACCAGTTTTCATTAGTTGAGATTGTTTTTTGGTTGATTTTGTCCTTTCTGTTTAGTACAAAGTTGTGTTCAATTGTGTTTTTTTAATACGGAAATAAAAAGGCGAAAGTAACAAGGAACTAAAACCTAATTCTAATTGAAGAAAGTAAAAAAAAGCGCGACACACTGCTCTCATCGACACAAAACTAACAAATGTTTTGATGGTGATTGATGAATGACCAAGTGATGATGTCAATTGATTTTATTGAATAGAACAATTTCGCATGCATGACTGAATGAAACACAGAACGAACATTGAATAACGATTGATTGATGATGATCTGAACGCATAGTAAAGACAAATGACGAAATGAGATTTACGTGCAAGAAGAAACAGTTACTACTATTTCACAAAATGAATTACAAAGAAGGGTTGATTATGTTAAGTTGCATAATATTATTACGATTAAGGAATAAAAAAATAAAAAAAACAAATTAATGATGATTCGTGTGTTACGAAGAACTTTTTTCCCCCAAAAATAAAGTTATTCAAGCAAAAATTTCAAACAAAGTCTTTTGGTATTTTCACATTATCTTTTTCTGCATTCATCTCTTCTTGCGTTGAGTGTGAGGTAAAAGTAGAACCATTAACTTGTTCAAGGATGATTAATCGATAAAAACGGAAAGAAACAAAAAAAAAATTAAATTCTTTCGCTCTCTGTCGCATTTTCGCGTTGCCATCTAAATAAAAAAGTTTAAATAAAAATGCTCAAAGTCAATGTTTTATTGTTTTATTTATGAATCAAAAAGAACCATAAAACCTCTCATGGTCTATCGATTTTGGAAGTCAAATGTGTCAAATATTGCTTTTCGAAGTAGCATATATATCTAGAGGTCGAATAAGGGAAATTTAATGAGTAAATGGGATTGTTTGAAATTTCAATATACACGCTATGGCTTAGACTATCACGAGAAGATTCATCAACTTACAATAATTAGCATTCAAGGTGTAAGCCGAGAAAACAGCTGAGAAACAGCAGAGGGATATTGAGTGAGAGGGAAATTGACAAAAGAATCGAACTATGTACAATTGCCTGTGTATTATATATTTCATTCCTTTTGATACGTTTTTTTCCCTTTCGTTTGTTCCGAAACTAATGCACTTCGATCGTTTATTCTGAAACGGGCTTAAGTATGGTTCTAAAAGTAATTTCATTTTGCTTTTTTAACAGCTATGTATAAATTTAAACGTCAGATCCATATTACACTAGATTCACTTTATGTGTGCCACACGAATGCATGCGCAAAAGCGAGAGAGATAGAGAGATAAATGCTATCCGTAGATTTTTTTTTTCAACTTATGAATAAATGTAACTGAAATACATTGAAAACCTGATTTATTTCGGTCGATTTTGAGTGCGTACAATGTTTGGTTTCATGAGTTCCGGTGTCAATGGTGGTATTTCCCCTCGGAATGGACCGAACTGTGGCAGATGGATCAGTTGTTCGGTGCTCCTAATGCTTGCCATTAAACTGCCCGATCGTGCTGGTGTTGGGAAATCGGGCTCTGAATCGATTAGGGCACGGTCGACAACAGCTCGACCATCGTAGGTGACAACAGTCCCAGCCGGATACAGTTTTGTTGACTTCAATTTACCATCCTTGCCCGGTTCATCGGGCGGCAAGTAATAAGCGTGTCGCTCTCCAGCCAATGCCACTTTATCTTCACCGTCTTCCACTTCCATGTACTGCAAATCACCGGACAACCGTTTCGTCGGCGATTTCATCATAACATTTGTGCTATCCAACGGTGATGGAATGAACATAGGTTCAAATGTTTTGATAAGAAGTTCAGAGCCTTCACCTTTATTCTCGCCCTCACCCTCATCCTCTGTACTGGAGTCATCGTCACTCAAATCCGTTTTGTCGCTTCGTCGTTGCTGTTGCTCCGGATAATCATCGGCTTCAAATGGATTTTGAGTTGGTTCATCATTTTCGGCATCACCTCTCGTGAACTGACGCCGCATTATCGGTGTGAATCCACCCTCGACAACGACCGAATCAGGTTGAAAACCGACATTCTTCGCTGGCGGCGCAAACTCTTTTTTGCTTATTTTGATCGGTCCACTAAATTTTGATTTCGGAAAATTGGGTGGCGATCCTCGCATTGCAACAATATGCTTCTGCAATGACCATGGCTGATTCTGCACCGGAAATTGTGGTATTGGTTTTATATTCGCAATGTAATCCCGTCGAATGGGTGGCATTGAAATTCTGGTGACTTTTTGTCGCTCGTTAACCACCTTTCGAATTGGCTGATTGAAATTTTTGAATCGATTATTGCCATGATTTGGGTGATTTTGATGATTTGGTATAATGTATGGGCTTGAATAGTTTCGTTCACGCAATGGAATCCGATGTTCACGGTGGAATGGTTCGGGGCGATACGGTTCCGGTCGAAACGGTCTCTCCGAAAAAGTTCTTGGCGGTGTTAGGAACATAGGTATCGGTTCAACTGCCTGTCCAATTGGTTCACCGAAATGATTTTTGATCGGATCTCCTTCGGCGGTTTTGTTAATCAAGCTTTTTTCCAATGCTTCAGCGGCCAAAATGCCATTGGCAATCATTTTCGTGAATTCATAATTACTCTTATCATTTCGATTCTCCAAATTGTTGCTATTCAAATGCGGTTGCGCTTGATCAATTGTTCGTTCATTCTGAAGCAAATAAATGTCTTGGGCTTTAACTTTTGTCTCATGACGAATTGATTGAGCGGGTAACAATGATTCGGGCTGGTCGGGCTGCACATAGATTTCCTCGATACGAGCTGTATATACACAAAACAAATACAAAATTTTGATTAGGTCAGAATGAAACAGGGAAATGGGTAAATTCCATATGAATTTCGAGGCGCTGATTACTGCCAAGAAATGCCGATGTGAAGCGATATTTTTTCTTGGAATTGTAACGGTATCTGCGCTATCCTCATAGATTCACTGTGTTCATATTCGAATGTTGTAGCGATCGACATATACATTACGCAATTCAGTGTGTTGTACACGTGCATTACACAACGCTTATGTGATCTTGACAGAAATGAGCAAAAAAATGGATGTATTTACAATGAGAGAAGGAGAAAGAGAGAGAGAGAGAGAGAAAAAAAGAGAAAGACGGGCTAATATTGGACGATACCAACGAACGACTTAATTATATAAGAAGCATCAAATTGATTCCAGAGCCTCCCGGTCTTCTTTGAGCAATATTTATATGGACGTATTTACAACAGTGTGAATACATGATTCTCACATAGCCACAGGCACCATAAATGGAAAGGGAGAGGAGATTTTACGTGGATTGCAGAGAAACAAAAAAAAGAAAGGAAATCAGCATGCTTGAGCAAAATATCTATGCTTATTAAATTAAATGCGAAATGTATAATTTTGAAGTATCAATTCCGAAAAATGAAGAAAAAAAGAAAGAAGGAAGTTCGTGCATGCCTCTATTTCTGGAAATGAATTGTATTTTCAAGAAGAATGTCTCGTTTTTTTTCTGATGAAATGTGTATGTAGTGAAAAATGAATGTAAATGAATCCTGAAAATGACAATGCATTCGGAGAAAATGGGCGATGATTCTTAATTAAATTTTATTGATAGTTTTGAAGCAGAAAGCACAGATATATTTAAAAAAGAAAGGTTTATTTAATTGGTAAAAATTCAGTTTTTTTTGTAGTTTTCTCACTTTGTTTTGCTTAACATTGAAAATCAGAAAAAGTTTGATAGAATATAGACAGAAAAAATCAATTCATTTTCGAACATTGCAGAATTGTTGGATGGAAATGGTGGATGCAGAATGTATTAAACCCTAGGAGAGAATTGGGTAACGTATATAAAAATAGTTACTTAAATGAATAGTTAAAATATTGTATGGTAATCTGGTTGTTGTTGTTTCTTTTCTGCCTCAACAATTTACATCCAACGAATCTCCAGAGAATAAATAGGTCTAGGTGTTAACAAAAATAGTAGATAGTTCATAGCCGAAATCAGGAAGGTGGTGGAAAAGGTAGTAAATATCCAAAGTGATAGTGTGTAGGAATGTTCGTCTCTGTGTTTTTTTTTTCTAATCTCTTCAATTTCATTCTTCTTGTGTGGAAACTGCTCGAATTTTCAACAGCATCAAACAAATAATTATAATAATCAACTGCTTATAAATTCACATATTGAATTTCTCCCATAATTCTTGGACACGAATAATTTTTTTTTTTTCGTTTATTCTTCTTTTCTATTTATTTAATATCGCGATTTATGCAGCTTACTCGATTGGCCACTGTTGCTATCGCACGAGTCGAGTACGTTAATTTTCCAGCCCAAATGTCGATGGGTGAAGCATTGATAGTAAACGGTGTCGGGTGTATTTTCATCGGGCTGCCATGTGATGACGCCCGGTTCACCTTCGTCGCATTTCAGTGAAAGGCTTCGTTGGTAGGCTCCAAATGATGAGTATTCATCGGCAGCTGGACCATCTGGATCTGGTGTCCAGTTACACAATCGTCCAGTACCAGTTGGTGCCAATATACCGAATCGGTTACGTTTCACGCCAGCATAGATTCGAACACGCGCTTTTTCTTCGTCGCTCTTGTATTCGTAGCCACCGACTGGATCATCAGTGATATAGAATGGATGGTATTTGGCTGGAACGTCTGGATCATGACCACCTTCGACAACGAATGTGTATGTTTTGCCTCGAATTACATTGATCTCTGGGATCAACAAACCGTTTATGTACCAACTTATACCCCAACCAACGTGACCTATGGACATTTTTCAATTTTAGTTTAGATGAATGGTTGGAAAACCGAAAAAGCTTCAATAAATATGGCAAATGGTGAACCTGTGATTGCAGGGTATCCTTGTTTACCGCCAGTGGGTCCCAACTGAGCGTAGAAGACACCATCATCAGGTTCGTGACATTGAATTGGTGGAATTTCCCAGAACTTGTTTCTTGTCACAGGTGGAACTCGAGCTGGGGCTGGTGGTGTTCGTGATGGATTGGATTGTGATCCTCGTCTATCGTTCGATTGAATCTAAAACCACAAGAAATAAATCACCATACAATTAATTGGTTGTATGACTTATTGAAGAAACAATTGCATACATTATCGTATTCATCATAGTTGTTCTGCTGTGGAGTATAGACTTGCGAATGATGTTGGTGGTTGGATTGTTGTGTTGGTGGTTCATAAATTTCTTCATTCTCATCTCCGGCATCAATCATTCGCATGTCATTTTCCGACAATGGGCAATTCCACGACGGTTCCCGGCCGAATTGTATCAATTTCGTTTGTTTTGAGAATAAACTATGGAACGACACTTCAAGCCGTTGATTCAATGGTCCAATAGCCCATGCAATTGCTTGCGATGAGTTTCCAATGATTGGCAAATCGAATTCATCGGTCGCTTTCAGTGGGCGTTGATATGTTACGATCGAATAACCATTAACCGTTGCGGCATTCAAAACCCGAATCGAGTTCGTTTTGTCCTAAAATTAGTATCAATGGTGATAAAAAAGAGCAAGTTAATTCATTGACATATCTTTTTTTTCGGTTTTCAAATTAAAAAAAAAGCTCGAATTTAAAACGAGTCTACTCACTCCAAGTCTGGTATCTGGGCAACTGCCTCGGCTACCGCTGCATTGTGATTTAGCATCAAGGAAATAATCTTCGGCATAGCCTTTACCAGTGTTTTTATCGATCCAAGCGACTGCAACATCGGCGCCAACCATGAACGTTTTCGATCGATCGGGCGAAAGACCAAACGACATGTATTCTCCATCATCTGTAAAAGCGAGTTTAAAATATTTATCAAAATTATTATGCATAGAGGATTTATTCTCGCGCGAATAGAGAGCAAAAAAAAAAACTGCTGGAAAAAAATCAATATATTATAGTAAAGCAATAAAAAAAAAGATCACTAAATTATACCTAATTTGGCTACAAGTTGGATTACGATACTTTCGCCGGCAACAGCCCATCTAACCTCAAATGCAAGGTCATCGTAAAGCACTTCGCAATTAAGCTTGGACTAGAAAAAAAAGACCAATAAAAATTAACGTTTTTTTTTCTCTCGTCATAACGATCAGTCCGACTTTGCTATTTTGTTGAATGCACGCCTAATTATGACATTATTATTATTATGAGCTCATTGAATTATGAAAATCAATAGCAAAATTCGAATATGACAGCGATGGGAAGCCCGAGGAATTCAAGCCAATGGAATTTTCATTGTTGTTTTTTTCTTCGTTTGTCATAACGTAAGCAGTAAATTTTATAGCTGTTGTTGTTGTTGTTTATTTGAACGTTCCTTTGATTTGAAACGAAAACCGCTCGCATTTAATTTGAAAGCATGCCTTGATCAATCCTTTTTTTTCGTATGTGTTTGTGTCTGCGGAACATTTTCACATTAGAATAAACACAAAATTGAAAATGGGTGGCATTCGATGGCCTTCATATTTTCGCCACATAATATGCGGTTCTTTTGCGATGATAAAAGCCGCATACTGCACATATAAATGTCAGTGTGTGACCCTCAATGACCTTAAGGCTTAACTAAACACAGTCAAAATAAATGGCAAAACTAATCAGTCAGAGATTCTGTTTGGAGCAGCAACAACAACAACAAAAACACTTCCATCTAATTAACCTCATCTATGTTCCTCCCTCTCTGTCTGTCTCTTTTGTGAAACAAAAACGAAAACACAAAAAAAAAAATCATTCCGCACACGTCTTAGCTTACATATACTATGGAATGTTGGTCAAAACCAAATGTGGAAAAAACAAAAAACAATCATTCAAATAACATAGAATCAATATGTTTATTTTTTTAACCAAAAAAAGAGTTATAAACTAAAAATATTAATTTGCATTAGATATTTATAAAACACAAAGAAATAGAAAATTTTGCTTTGTTTTTTGTTTCCTTTTCTTTTTTTGTTCTGTTTTTTTTCTCGTCTGTCTCTCGTGTATTCTTGTGAAATATGCTGCCATTTCCAATGGAAATCTAATGCATAAATTTGTGTTGTATTTTGGAGAATGGCAAAATGTAAAATAAAGAGAAAGAAAGACAGCAGCAATTTATTCCGATAATCTACCTTGAAGAATGTTTCGATCACTGGATTAATTATTTACATAAATGTGTTCATTTTCGTTTTTCTTACTGAGAACAACGCAATTTTTCATAGTTCATTTCTTCTTTGATGCTCATGCAATTGAATTTATTATGTTTTTTTTTTGTGTGAAAAAATGTTTCTTTTTTTATATTTCCTCTTTCATTTTTTCTCTTTCTCTTCTATAAATCGTTATCTGGATCCCATCACCGATTAAACGGGTCGGCATTTGAATTGAAATAGATTGTATCTTTTTTTGGAAATCATATGTGTGAAGTGAGTGCATAAGAGTTTAATTTGGATCGTTTTGTGATCATGTGAATGTGTGTGTGTTTTTTTTGCTTTTTGTTTTTTGTTTTGAAGGGGTGTGTATATGTGACTGTGTGATGTCATTAGTCAAATGATTGACTGAATATCATTGATCTATGCTACCAAACATTTTAAATCAGATGTTCAACATACAAATCATTATCACTTATCATCATGTGCAAAAATGATAGATCAAACGACTCTTTGTTTTGCATGGCAATCATATGACCGAAAGATTGATTTAAATTGCTAATTTGAATTATTTATTTTCATGTTTTAAATACTTATGGTATCTATAAATCATTTGAGGCTGCAATTGAGATAACGAGCACATTGATCCGATTTTTTTTCTTTTTAAATATTCCATTCTATTTTACAACGTCGCTTATAAATTAACCATAATTCGAGTGTGTGGGTGTGTGTGTGTGTGTTTGTGTGGGAGGAGGCGGAGGGTGAATAAAAAAAATAAACAAGAATAATAAGAAAAATGTGTATATATAACGAACGAAGGGTTGCCTATCATCTTATCCACTTTGTTGACGACGTTTTACCTGTGGAGAAACGCCCAGCATTTTCAGTGACGGCGGTACGTTAATGCTTTGTGGAATTTTCACGTGGCCAAAATCAACGGTAAACGCTTCGCACCACACACCAAAGTGTCCAATATCGAAAATGGTCAAATCGCCAGGCAATGTCAACACGATGGTTTTCCGTTCGTAACGTTGCAATGGCGTGATGCGACCATTTTCATCGGGGATACGAAGTCCATTTGGTGTAGGCTTATCACCACGTCCAACCCAAAATTTGGCATCTATAAAAGAAAAAAAAAGATCGAATCAAGTTCGATACATATATGTATGTATATTAAAGTTCAAAAATGAGTAACAGTTGAGCTGATAATGATGATGATATTAATCTCTATTTTTTTTTCTCCTCGCATAATGGGAAAGGTGAAGAATCGAATGAAATTAATATCACGATTGACGTATATTTTTTTTATTCTTTTAATTACCTGGTGCTTCACCGTCATAGCTAAAGTTTGGAATGAGGATCGTTTGAGCATCAACAACGACGATATTGTCCGATGAAACACCATGCACACCTTTCAACGGTGCCAGTTTGTATGGTCGGGGAAAGTCAAAATTCTTCGGAATTGAAATGTCGCCGAAGTTAACCGAGAATTCATCACACCATACCGAGAACCATTTAATGTCACGCAATGTTTTTCCCTCTGGCAATGAAAGTGTTATGTCTTTATTGCGATAGCGTCGCAGTACACCCGAGTTGCCACGTTCATCACGTAGTCGATGTGCACCTTGGTTTTGTAATCTCTTCGTGTTGCCAACATAGAAATAGGCGGCTATTTTCAATTCAAAAATTGAGAGTAGAAACCAACAAGAGAGGAAAAAAGAAATGAATAGACACAAGAACAAAAGAAAAACGAGCAAAAAGAAAGCATTCGATTAGTAAAATATTATCTATTAATTAATGGAGACAGTGAAAATAGAGAGAGACAGAGATAGAGATGAACGTAAAAGTGTTATCAGTCGAAAGCAGTGTTCGGTCGCCACCTACGTCAAACATCAGTTGCCATAACATTTATCGCAAGCAGGTTTTCGCATGTGTAAATATCAAACATTAAACAATATATTTGTCAGGTCAACAGCAGCAATAACGTATTGTCCGATTTTCAGATCACATAAAAAAGCTCAATTATCAAAGGAAGAAGAAAAAATCGTGATGATTCAAATATCGAATAAAATACAAATAAAACACACAAAACGACACACACCGAAAACAAACGAAACATATAAAATTTATGGAAATGTAAATGACACACACGAAAAGAGGATAAAAAAGTTGGAACAGTAGACTTTATCTCTGGAAATGACGTGATGCTCTCTGATAATGACTTTGGCTTTTGCTGTCGCCGGCTATCCTTTTGTTGTCTGTTATTTTGATTCGGTTTTTTTTCACATCTCTCTTCTGGCCTTTTGTTCTTTTCGCCTGTGATAAAAGCCATTTTCGCAATTAATCCAAACACGCTGCTGAATTTGTCGTTTGACCAATTGAAAAAAAAAAATAACCGACAAAAGACAGCAAGGAGAGTGATAAAGATAAGATGGCCAAGACAATAAAGTTGGAAGTCATTTGGCTGGCGCACAGTCGCCAAAGTGAGAAATTTATAAAAAGAAGTTTTAAATTAGTTGCAGAAGCAAACTAATATACACACTCTCATACGAAACAGACGAAGAAGAAAACATAACAAACCGCTCGTGGAACTAGTTTCGAATCATATTATCGATTATTTATTACAATCGCAAATGAGAGCTGGAGCCCATTTTTTCTCGCTTTTTTTTATTCTGCTTGCCAGCCTGCTTGCTTCGTTGCCTGTTCCATTGAGTATGTGTGCCTCATAAATATGGAATATGTGCCGCTTGAAAAGCGAATGAAACAATATGTCAAGACACGTCACTAGAATATTCTTCCGAATCAAATTCGTAATCAAATGATAACAAATCTCCTCCTTTCCCGATAAAACATTGCGAAAAGGTTATGAATCAAAGAGCCAAAAAGCGCGCGATGCCAACAATTTTCCATAAATCAAATATGTAAATGAGAGAAGGCGGTCGTTGTGTGTCTTATTATTGCGATTGCGCATCATTTACCGATCGAAAATGACACCATCCCATGAAAAAATAAGAAGCTTTCTACCCGACAACGAATGAAACTCTTATGGATTCGTGTTAATTGTGCACAATGCGAACAACACGAGGGCTTTCAACTGCGATTTTGATTAATTTGAAGAGATTTTGATGCTTAATAAAATAAAACAATGGAAAACAATTACCTGGTCCTTCGCCATCATAGTTGAAGTTCTTGATGAACAGGGTTCGAGAGTCGACGGCATATACATCACCGGACACACCGTGATGCAATTGACTCAATGGGCCCAAAGATGCACCATAATAATCACGTGCAGCTGACACCGTTTTACCTATAATTTGGTTAAATAAAATCGAATGTGATTTTCGTGTGTAATTCGCTTGGATGAGCCCTCTTTTGAGTCTCTTTTCATAACTAATTTTGGTTGTTTTTTTTTTTTTGAAATAGAATATTTTAATATAATTCATATAGAAATATTTTTGTATCGTCTTTATTACGAATATGGAAATGATTATGAATCGATCGGGCGATGATCGTTCACCTTCTCTCTCATTCCTGTATTCGTTGTTTCTGCCAGTGAATTACCGTTATAGAATTCAAAAATTTCGTTAATTTCAATAGATCATCGGCACTTAGTCACAGTGTGAGCAAGATTCATGTTGTGTGTCGCTTGTGCCGCTATCGATACATGCGTACAAATAAATATAGCATAAATGTGTGCTCATAATAAAAATACGTTTTACAGAAGAGAGAAAAAATGTATTAAGGTTAGTAGAACTTCATGGATCCGAAGCGAATAGCATGGCCACACTATATACATAATTTTTTTTTTTCAATCTCTCTCTCTCTTTTTCTTCATCTGTGATATGTGTGTAGGCAATATCTACAATGGTCGGTTACATCGACATCAGCGATAAAGATGTAAGATGAAAGAAGTAAATGTCTGCATAAATATTAAAATCGCAAAGGAGGAAAATGAGAAGAAGAAGTAGAGAGAAAAAAGCACCATGCAATGTGTAACCGTTTGTATAATAACACATTTTAACGGTGTTTTCCATTCGATGCGGTCGATTCTTGACGTTGTCGTATTTCATGTGCGTTTTCTATTCCCAATGTGTCGATCGATATGAGTTCGTTTGCCGAGAAATAGCTCTCTGAGTAATTGGCATTCGGTCCGTCGTACGTTTCTGTTTTTTTTGCTCTCTCTCGCTCGCTCTACAAGCGATAGGATAATTTACCTTAATGTTTCTGTTATTGCGGTGATAACACGTCAGCTGAACGCGCATATTCCAAGTATTTCACGTCCAACTTGACTGTAATTCAAATCGAAATCAACACCTTTTTACAATTAAAGCATTTGCAATAAATCAATTAAAATGGCTGAACAAGGGAGAATGAATTCGATCCATGTGTGTGCGCAGAAAAATCGTCTGAAATATTTAAATCATTTAACTGTGAAGAAACACACATATCTCTCTCTTTCTCTCAGCGCCCATTACTTGGTATAGTGTAACTTCAGTTATTAGATCACTTCAAACTCATAACGATTATTAGTTCCGTCGATTGGAAAATAGAAAGAAAAATGTGCAACCGACGAATTATTGAAGTAGGCTAGAATCGAAACACACACAATGTTTACTTATTACGTGTTTTGTTCGACGATGCAATTGCGAGTAGCATCTTAATAATAATAATAGTTAAAATGGTGTTCGCAAACACACAACCGAAGTGTGAAGGAAGCGAGCGAGAGAGAGAGAGAGAGAGAGAGAGAGAGAGAACGACGTGCAACAGAAACCATATGCACTGAAATAAATAACCGAGGTAAATGCATCTTTTAAATACATTGCAACGCGTCAACGACTCATGCTGCACTGTAAAACTTGGTTTCTGTTCTCTTCTCGCCAGCTCTCTTCTTAAATCGAGCTCTGCAACGCTGTCATCATTATCTCGGTGGTTTTTTGTAGTTGTTGTCTTGTTCCATCATCTTTTGTTTTCTTGCGCAGAGACGCAGGCGACGATCATAAAGCGAACGTATGCATGTTTACTAATTCTGCATTAATTGAATGGCAATATTGTGTCTGTTCAATCAAATATGTGTGTGCGCGAACGCGCGTCCGCTCACTTGTTTTCCCGCAAACGGAGAATTCTCTACCTGTTTATAGATTTGTTTCTTTTTTTCTAACATCATTGTTATTCTGGCGTGTTTCTTTTGTATGTTGCTGTTATGTTCGCGAGAATTAGTTTGAACGGAACGGAAAACATACAAATTATAATAAATCTCCAAATGATATTTAGTACGTGTACACGATTTTGCAATTGTTTTCATACCGCATAATCCATCAATGCGAGCATAAAACATCGCCACACGTACGAACCGAGAGAAAAAAAAATCATAAGTTAAACAAAACAAGTACGGGAGTAACCATGAAAACACAAACAACAGAAAAATACACAACAAAACGATATAGCGAAAGAAGCGCGAGTCATAGCAACGCACCATATTCAAGTGTCGAGAGGTAACAAAATGCACTCGAAGCAAATGTGGCAAACAAAACGATATTTCATTAATTGTATCACTTAAGACATGATCTAGATAGAGAAAGTATTGGATTGAAATGGTGGATTGAATTACACTGAGTCGCATTTAAAAAAATAAAACAACAACAACAACAATAAAAAAATATTCAAAGGAAAGGTAACGAGACAAAACGACACACGACCAGTATCTATAATACATGGGCCACGACACCAGCAATGCCACAACAGAGACAACGGGATCATATTGAAATTTATTAACTACACACAGTGAAAAGAGAGAAGATAATTGAAATTTCAGTTAAAGGGCCTGAGATCAAGCAAAATCGATCGATCGATCGATCGCTCGCTCGTTTGCTTCATTCGAATCGATCACGACCGTGATGTAATTTTTTTCCACTCATTTTGGTCGCTCTCTGTCGCCAGTGCTTTCTTTCGAAAGAGCGACGGTAGTTTTTTTTTTCTTCTCTCTGATTGTGACTGTAAATGATTATTTTCACATTGATATATTTGTTTCTGTGGCAATGTGAATCAATTTGGGTTGGAAAATCACTTAGAAAACTGACGCTACTTTGTCGATTTTTTTCTACTTACATAACAAAACAACTGCACAAATCAACTTCATTGAATGCAACATTGTCGATGATGCAAATGTGATGAGGTGGTCGTCGTAAATGAATGTAAATTGACTGAATTTCTTTTTTCTTGTCTCGTTGTTTTTTTTATTTTTATTTCTTTTTTTTGGTTCCAACAAAGAAAAACAAAACCAAAAATTTCAATTGGTTTTTTTTGTGCACAGAAATAATAAACAATGAACAAAAAAAACGGTAAATTATTCAAAAAAAAAAAAAAAAAATTACGAATCGATCGGGTGCAGTCCTTATTATCCCAATAAAAAAAAGTATTCTATTCGTTGTGTAGATCGAAATTTGCTATTTCTTCATTGTGAGGAGGAGATGTGTGTGCACGCGAGACTCTATCTCTAGATGACTCGAGAAGAATGATCAATAATCAACGGTTTTTGCGTTTTTCTCCTTGAAGATGCTGTTGCAAAAATCGTCGACGATGTGCTGATGTCTGTCTTTTTTATTCCAATCACCTTCCTACTCTTGAAATTTTTCGTCGATACCCGCGCGCGCGATGTGCTTTTTTTCCTTCTCTCGTTCGTGTTCGTTCGATGGTGTTTTTCAAACTGTGTTTTAAATTTAACTCAATATTTTTTTTTATAAATCCAAATCGCAACCCATTTGGGTTTTTGTTGGTTTATATTTTTTTAACGGTTATTCGTCTTTAAACTATGTATCTTTCTTTTCGTTTTTCAGGGTTTTTTCCCGTTCGTTTATACTATTTATTTATTTTTTTTTTTACTTTCGTCCGTATATATTTAAAAATTTGAAACTTAAAATATTTGTGCCGCTAATATTATAATCAATTTTTTTTTGTTCGCGCGCGAGAGATTTTGATTCTGTTTATTAATAATCGTTATTAAGTTATTATTGTCTGTCCGAATAAAAAAAACACAAAACAAACTATTGCCGACTCTACGAATGACTACGACGACGAGATGAAAACGAACGGCAAACGGACAACAACGACTACGGCAAACGTGCACGATGACAATGGTAAAAACGCTTCGGCGACGAGATCACTTTTCTCGACCAGACGATTCAAATCGCCAACTAAAACTAAATTTAAAGCGATTTTGTAATTTCTGACTTTTTCGCGCACAGCAAATCTTACAGATTGGAAAGAATCATTATGCCAAACAGCAGCAACAGCAGCAACAACAACAGAGCAACAGCAGCAACAACATAGCATACGTCCCATTCAGTGTGTGTATGGCATGAAGTGTATTTATCGCATAACACATCAATTAAACACACGATCCAAGAGAAACAGAAAGACAAAACAGTGGATTAGGAAAAAAAAAAAGAGAAAAACACTATACACGTCCACACGAGAACACACTACCGAAATGAGCAGCAGCAGCAGCAGCAGCAACGGCGGCAACGCAAGAAGCAACACAGATGGGAGGAAAGACATCGGCAATAATAAAACCGTTCCAACAGAGCTACAGAGTCCACACATGGACACGGTTCAAAATTACGGAGGGGGGCCTCGTCGAAGCGCTCAAAATCATCGATGAAAACCGCTTTAATCAATGCCAAAAAATAAGCCTGCAACGAAATGCGACTTTGAACCGGTGGAAAAATTGTCGAAAAACTCCTGCAATTTTTTTTTATCAACTGCCCATGTATGTGTAACACCAATAAAATGAAACCAATTTATGATAAGTGGTGGTACTCTGCCTGCATCGGTGTTTGTAAGAAGAAGAAGAAGGAAAAATAAAACAGAGTAACGTTACCGCATTTCTATACCACAGTAACACGAATACACTTCATGCCGTGGCATGCATAGCGAATGCTCCGCATACATTGCTGATTTTCAGTTTTCATTTCAAGACGATGTGATGCTATTCAAATCCAAAACTTTTTCGACAAATGATTGCGATGGACGATCAGTATGGTAAAATTAGATGTAGTGCAGCCAGTGTGGCTAGAAGCGATAGCCCAAATAAATACCCGGCAGCTACAAAAAAACGGGTCATGGTACTATTTTCGATTTTAACTATACACATACGTGTGTACGAAGTTTTTCACACAATTCATCATCTATTTTCCGAAACGAACCCAAAAACCGACGTTTATCTCTTGTTCTTTGTTGTTGATTTTGGTTGTTTTACTGTTATTTATTGAATTAGCCGTGAATATTCCAGATAAGACCAATGAATGTGTAAACAATACGCTGCAGCTTTGGTGGCTGCAAACATTTTGGTCAATCGATTCGCTAAATTTGTACGCTGAAAAAGACAATGATACTATCATCCCATGATAAACAATGTTTAAAGATTCGATTGTAATTGGCCATTGTTGCAGCAACAGCAATCGTATGGGACTTTTCACGAAAAAAAAGAAAAGAAACCGCATGTTGCCAACGATAACGATAATGGCAAACAATATGTTTTCGAAACAAACGAGAGGAAAAAGCACACACAAAATAGAAGATTCAAACTCTTTTTTCGCTGTTCAATTCTGTGTGTGCATGCCGGCTCATTATAATACACATAATAATATTTAACTGTTGCGCCGAGCTAATTGAATGACCGTTACAATGTCCAACAACAAGAGCCGGAGAGCGCGAAGAGGAAAAAAACGATGTGAACAAACGTTAATATTTTCTCTTTGATTATGTCAGCCAATGCTGACATTACACACTCTTTGTAAATGAGTATTTGAAAGATAATTTGCATCACAAAAAAAAACAGCACATTATTCGCATTGACGCTCCGAAAAACAGACGAAACAAAAAATGTTCGAGGCTGCACAAACTGAAAATTGAGGCTATTTACCACCCAAGGAAATGAAATGCATCTCAAGCTATGAAAATAGGCAGCAATGAACAGCATTTAATCATCAATTATCAATTAGCGTGATTTTCAGTGTATAAATGATGGAAATGAGTTTGGAGTTTGCTGTAATGTCTTCCTATTTTCGTTTCAGCTACTAATCACTCACATTTTATTCGCGCAAATTTTCCGTTCCATTCATTTTGATGCGGTGCGTTAAAAATTCGACTACAAATCATTTTCATAATTTGATTTACTTGGATCATTGTCAAACTGTCTGTTGAACCCTCTCTCTCTCTCTCTCTCTCTCTCGCATAGACCGAAATGTGCAAATAAAAATAAAAAGTCAATCACACATCACTTTGATATCAGTTTTGTTGTCGTTCGTTCCGCATGCTTACTAATTATCGTATTGTCTCCTCAACAGTTCCATATGTAATCAGCGACGTTAAATAGGGAAATATGAACGGTAAACGATCATGTAAATGCACGAAAATTAAGTGAAAAAAGCAACAAATTTGTTTTGATCGTGTTGAATCGTGCCTTTTTTTCTTCTTCTTCTTCTTTTAAACCTGCGATCTAAAGTGATCACTTCAGATAAATGAAGAGAGCAAAAAAAAGAAGGCGATCGAAATATATGCGCCATTAAAAGTGTACATAAATGATGCACATTAACTTATATAACTAGTATGTAAAGTATATTGGCATAATAGCAAACCAACAACCAAATTTTAAGATTGATGGCTTTGCATATATTCAAATTAAAGTCGCTTAAAATCTAGCGATTTCAATGAAATGCACACACAAATCGTTTTAATCGTACAGCCTGGGTTAACAACAGTGAAACATTTCTCACATTAAAGCGATCTCCCGAAACCAAATGCTTTATGAACTGTGACGATGGTTCCGGAACTAGCGTATTGGGTTATTATCTAGTTCAAATGTGTGTCAGTGGGCTGAAAATTCACATTGTGTGGAATTCCGATTTCAATGTATTTTCGATGTGTTTATAATTTTAATTACTATCAGCGTTAAATATGGGAACACCATTTTATTTCTCTTCTCGTTAGAAAGTGCATCAAATTGGGTGAAAAAAAAAAAATAGACGAAGCAATAATTCCGCGAAGAGATTTGGCAACCGAAGAAAGTCGAACGAAAAATTCAAATGTTATGATTATGGGCCATAAATTATGGCTTAAAATGGGCTGCAATAGATGTGACGGCAATGAGAAAGAAAAAAAAGAAGGTTGAATGGCTTTTGGGAAACAATGTCGAATCACAAAATTGAAATGCCTATGAGATTTTCTCTCTCTCTCTCTCTCTCTCGTTTGATTAAATCTCTTGAAACCAATTTGAAAAGTTCAAATCATAGTCCAATCAACAACAATGCGATTCATATCGAAATTGCTGGCACTTTCGTTGATTCAATTGAAATGTCGATGCCCACTTATGTGGCGCGATTGAGTGATTTCGAGCCGAAACCTCCGAAAATGAAATCACTTACTTATAGGCGTAACATGAACGGCTCATGTCGAAGTCGAACTACATAAGTTTGACCCATTCCATTCAAATTTGTATTAATGTTTGATCATTAATTGTTTGATGCCTACCTAATGACTTGACAGCTTTAAGGGCTCATCGTTCGAGTGTTACAAAACCGAAGCAACAACATTACGGCAATGAATTAATGGCTGTTATCGGTTTCTTTTTTTCTTTTTTTTTTGTCATTCCACAACAATTCCAAACTCGAAAGATCTGTACGAGACACACAAAATTGATAAAAACAAATTTAGCGTTTCGGCAATGTCTATTCATATCGGTTTGAACTTAATCGCTCATTCAAAATCGCCCCTTCGACACTGATAACGTTTTGAAATGTCGATCATTTTGGATTTGAGACGAGAAAAAAAACAATGCGACTCAGTAATCAGCTGTCGTTCGTGCGAGAACAACATTCGGCATTGCATTGAAATACATTTGTTTCGTCCATACAACAATTCTTTGCCTTGAAATCGTTAGAAAATCGTGTTTAAGGTTTGTGTTTTGAGAAAAATTACTCGTTTTGCATTTATAGAAGTGCGTTTAAGTGTTTATGAATTGGTTGTTGTTGTTGTTGTTGTTGTTGTTGTTGTTAATAGCTGATCTTATTTTATTTTTGGCTAGTGATCGGACGAAGGGACGGTATTGATAGCTCGAAACGGAGAAAAAAGAGAAAGAAATTGACGGGCAAACGTAAACGAAGAGAAAGAAAAACATGTCGAAGTGGCCGCTTGATCAGGTAATTATTGAAAACAACGGCTGTAAAACGGTTAACAGAGTGTTCATTTCTCTTCGTACCATTGAACAACGAAAAAAAGCGATCCAAATGATATCGTTACAATTGTTATATAATATGAACCCGACTAATTCGATCGATTGGCACTGTATCCGTGCACGGGTAACGTCGGTTTTTCTTCTTCTTCTTAAAAGCGTATCGTTGCTGCTACTGCTGTTGTTGCTGCGTCTATACATTCACATCAAATAACTTCATTTGTGGCTGAATGATTTGTTTATCTTTGATTTATCTGTTGTTGTTTCTCTCTCTATCTCTCCCTCTCTCCCTTGCTGTTTTTCTCTCTTATTCAGTATGATGTAAACGGTTTTGCTGTTATCGAAGATTTCTTAACGGAAGAAGAGGCAAACGAACTACATGAAGCTGGACTGGAATTATGCAAAAATGCACCCGAAAATGATCGTGCAGTGTTCAACACCGAAAATAAATCATCACACTTGAAAGATAAATATTTCCTCAATTCGGCCAATAAAATCCATTATTTCTACGAAAATGGTGCACTGGACGATCAGGGAAATTTGCTGGTGAATAAAAGCGTTTCACTTAACAAGGTACAAGAAAAACCTCCGTTCAATTTGAATTGGTAATGACTGATAAAATGGCACTTAATTGTCGTAGGTTGGTCACGCACTCCATGCACTTAATCCAACGTTCAAAAAGTACACATTTGACGAACGTGTCAAAAATATAGCGAAACAGCTTGGCTTCAAAAAGCCAACCATTCCACAGAGCATGTTCATTTATAAAAATCCGAAAATTGGCGGTGAAGGTATGTCATCAGTAAATCAACGAAATCAATTCATCACTCGATAGAGTTGAGAATAATAAAATCCATTTTGAATAATAATTTGTCTCATTAGTTAAACCGCATCAAGATGCAACGTACTTACACACGGAACCAATATCAATAACGGGTTTCTGGATTCCGACCGAAGATGCGACGCTGGAAAATGGTTGTTTGTGGTTCATCAAGGGATCCCATAAGCATGGTTTGGATAATCGGTATGATTGATTGTGTTTAAATACGTTGTGGTTCCATAGAATTGACTAATATACTTGTGTTTTGTAGTTTGATTCGCAATCCAGTTCGAAATTCCGATGAATTTCTCGTGTATGACAAACCGTCACCGGCTTATTCACAAGACTTATTCGTAGCGGCCCCAGTTAAGAAAGGATCGTTGGTTGTCATCCACGGATTAGTGGTTCATCAGAGCGAATTGAATCGATCGGAGAAGAGCCGTTTTGCCTATACATTCCATGTAATGGAAACGGACAATGTAAAGTATTCACCCGAGAATTGGCTGCAATTACCAAAAGGCGAACACTTCCCAGAACTTTATTAACAAAATTAAAATTCAAATGCACTTGAGCTCTTGTTTCAAATGCGTTGCTGTTATTGCTGTTGTTGTTGTTATTGTTGAAGAATAAATGGCTTGCAATAGCACACAAAGTACATTTTGAACATGTTACCTTCTGATTTTAGCTATTAATGAACCATAAGGCTGAACTGGCAGCTGTAACAACACAAATTACACAATGACTGTGGCTTGAATGTTATTAAAGACAATGCGAGCTCTGTAGTTGTTTCTTCGCTTTGCTATTTAATGTTGTATGTGTGAAGTGTTTTTTTTCTTCGCTTCAATTCGTGTTCATGAATCGAGAGAGAAACAAAACAAAAAAAGTAGATAATGATTTTTGTTCTCAAGAACGTGGACACTGTTTTTCATCATATATATTTGTTTTATTGTTGTTTCTTTCTAATTATATTTTGCACATGTGTTTTTATGCGGTTTTCTGTCCAGATGCGTTAGAAACTATTCTTGGAAACCGAAAATTACAATTTGAACTAACAAAAAAATGTGGTTAAATACTTAATGTCTCGATAAAGGGTCAAATTCGAGTCGTTGAAATAGCAAAGTTCACCATCGATATGAAAAGAAACAGAAACGACACACACGTCGGAGAGAAAGAGATCGCGCACACAATTGGATTTAGTGGCTTAGTGGGTGATATAACATTGATGATATTTGCAACTGAATGTGGTAACATAATATTTCAAAAAGACCAGCGAAAAAAAGATCGAAACCAAACACGGTGTGTGTGTGTATTGTGATTAATATTTCTCGCACATCGGACAGTTGGTAAAGACACATGATGATGTGTGCGGTATGCCCATTGTAAACGGTATTGTCATTGGGAATAACCATTTCGGATAGGCGAGCATCGGCGTGAAGTGCGACCTTCCACCATCCATGGATGTTGTTATTTGTTGATTTGGGTTCTGTGTTTCGAAGATTGTGCAACACCAAAACCCATCGACACGAAGACGCCACATGCAAAAAGAGTCAAAGAGAATAATGAGAGAATAACAATTAAAATTAATATGAAAGAAGAGAGAGAAAACAAAATGCATACACGAAATAAATCTCTATATTTATGATATCAGAAAAGAGCAAAACTGTTCCAAACGAAAAAACGAACACAAAAATTGTGAAGCGGCAAAAATAGCTGAAAAAAAAAATCAGAAGAAAAAGAAGAAGAATTTTGTTCAACTTTCTTGATTTAGAGTTGTTGGTTTTGAGACCGGTTTGAAAGCGCTCGGTGCTGGCCGACATTGTTCGATCGCTTTCAGCAAATCCAAATCACAGCGACGCAAAATTAATTCAAGTACTGAACGCTTGCGGTGTGGAAAAAGATGAGCCAACATATCAAGGGCACTTTCGGATATGCTTCGCATATCGCCCAAACCACCACCGTCACCACCAACACCAACACCACCACCGCCGCTGCCTGCTAATTAATTAACAGAAGAAGAAAAAACAAACAAACAAGTGCACATTGTAGCGATTATTGTCGAACAATTGAGTGTGCAACATAGTGATGTACTCGACCACAACATTTATTTTAATTTCCCGGCGAGTATTTGATGAACGAAACACAATAAGAATAAGACACTTACAATTTTTTGTTTTCGGCACAAGCGACAGACTTTCGGTGGCATTCAAATTGGACGGTGCATTACATGGTTCCGTTATGGACATGCCAAATATTTTACCCGGCGGTAATTGTTCAATGGTTTTACCCGTTTCATTTGACACCAATCGCATTGCAATCGCATCTTCGACCGCCTGTTGTCGTTTCAGCGCAACCTGTAAACCCAATGCGTACACATTGTGTGAGTAAATAAACAAACAAAGTTTTCCTTCATTCTATAGTGTATACTGCCATGTGGTATTTTCAACATAACGACATCAAGTTCCGGCTTGGCATCAATCTCCATTTCAGGAGCAAAGAATAAAAAGCGTTGACTTTTCATTTAGCTAGATTTTATTAGTTGAGTAAACAATCGGATTAAGTAACTAAAACGACGAAACAACAAAGACTACTTCAACCAAAATACCCTGTAACGATTTCGTGACTCACATATTGTTTTTTTGACGCAAAGTTTTCAACAAATCTCCGAATCAGATTTGTGTAGCCCAACGTGCTAATGCTACGACTACCACATCAATTATAACCCTCGAGCAATATGAATAAAAATCACTTTTTCCAGTCGCTTCGGTTTCGGTTTTTGTCCATTTCTTCCCCATGTCACACACACACACACACACACTATGTAATTGAAATTCATATCATTTCATTGCGTTGTGGGCAGCACAAGGCGACTTTCTTTTTCCATGTCATTGATGTGATGCGGTGTGATGAATCAAATGAACTATGCATCAATTGGCCTGACATGAAATGAATACGTTTTGCGAGCAAACATTTTTATGCGAGTAAACTGCTTGTGCAAACACCGGTTCGGATGACAGGATCACACCACGGGCTATGAAAACCAAAACCAAAGCCAAATATTTGCACAAGAATTAAATCAAAAGTTGTTCAACTGTTTCGTGTCATTTGCGTTCAATGGCTGACTTTTTTCTCTCTTTCAGTCCAAACTTTTGTTTCATGCCACGGGGAAAGTAAATATTGGCCAATGAAACAGCAGTTATCACATTTTTATTTCAACAAATGCGCGAAAATCGTATTTAAAAAAAACCAATTTCAAATGAAAACATCGAAATGAGCAAAAAGACAAATGTTCTATTTTGCAACGCAAATGCCATTTCTGTTGCTTTGTTTGTGATGAATTGTAAGTGAAAAAATGATGCCAAATACAGCCTTTCTCCAAGTGGGTGACGGTGCTCTTCGATTTTGTATCAATTAATTTCCTCACCACAAACGTTGCATCATTCAAACTACATTTCTCACTTTTTTTACCTCTAAATCTAACAGACTAAGGTGTATACTGACCTGTGCAGCCATAATGCGTTGTCGTTCGTAGATCAATTCACATTTGGCACAGCGACAATTTCGATACGAACAGTTTTTCTTGTGTCCACGCAAACCCGAAATTACGCCATGGTTGCGGCAACGTGCACACTTTGGCACTCGGCCATTGTTTGCACTTTTTTGCTGTGACATCGATGCCATCGTCAATTGCTTATGTTTTTCACTTTTTGCCATCGAAACCGATAACATTCTCACCGTAAAACTCTAAACTCTTCGCACACAGAGAAAGGGAGAGAAGAAGAAAAAACCGTCGTCGACAATCAAGAGAACACTTGTACTTTCGTATAGATGAAAATGGATACTAAATTGAATGTTAAGAATTCGGTGAAAATGTAACAGGACGCCGAATTTTTCTGTATCATATCATCGAGAGCACGGCTCAAGTTATCCGTTTTTTTTTTCATTGATGAAGGCGTGTTCAATTGTGTTTGAATCGGTGATCGTCTTAGTCGGGATAAAGAGAATAGAACATCTTAGCATACGACTTCTTAAGCATCAGTCCCGCCCTCGTGCAAAAATTATCCACACACATTTGCGATGGAGCGCATGCTATCTTCACAACCACAATCAACAGTAGGTCATGTGCAAAAGTTAGAATGTTTTATTGGTGCAGCAAGTGATTTTATTGGATATAAATATTTTGACATTGTAACATTTTTCTTTCGAAATGGAGATTATTCGATTTGCTCAATCGGTTGGCGGGAAACAAGGTTTCATCGTACTATCGACAAAGTGGTTAAATTGGCAATGTGTCTGCAGTTTATCAGCAGATGATGTATAATTTCCACTTGTTGTAGGTGAATTTGGATGGCTGGATTCATTCTTCGATGATGATTTTATCACTGTGATGCCACGTCGCCATTTCGCTAAACGATATTTAGAAAGCAAAAATGGTTTATTTTTCTACTATTTCTTAGTATTTATAAAACTCATCAAATACAACACATACCACGTCTGTTCTGGAACCATGTTTTTACCTATCCAAAAATCGTATAAACAATTTGGTTAGTTATTCAACAAAGAGCATTCATTTGGTTAATGGACAAAAGTAAATGGTTTTCTAGTGTAACGTACTTGTCGATCGCTTAACTTTAGCTGAACGGCAAGTTGTTTTCGATCATCGGGCGAAAGATATTTGTTACTGTTGAATTGTTGTTCCAAATGTTGCGTTTGTTGCGACGTGAAACGAACTTGACCGCCCTTCCGTTTGAATGTACAGCCACCGAACGGATGCGAATAATATGGCATATAGCCGCTTGGCGTAGCTAAACAGAAAATTGGTTTGCAATTAACCTTTGTACATTGAACGTGTTATGCTTTGATTTTATATTGAGGTAATTTCGTTCGTTAGTTGGTTAGTTGGTCTATTAATATTTGTAAATCATCATCTTATCTCTCTGTCATTCAAGGGCCTATTTGGAGCCAATTGATCCAAGTATAAATCCAAGAATGGGAATTAAAACGCGTTTCTATCACTTCCGTTTGAACACGAAAAGTACATTTATTTTACGATTCAATGATAAAATTTCGGTTAGAGTGTGTCAACATTGGCTATCGATTTCGAGGCAAACGTTTATATTTAAGGGATTAAGATTCAATGATTGATGTAGTATAACAATTGAAACGTGTGTCATACGGTTGTGTATTATTATCATTGCAATGCTTTCTACAATTATTGCGATCAAATAAACAAATAAACTAATCCAAACAGCTCAAACCCAGTGCGTTTACAACCACATAAAATTACTTCGAAATCAATTATTACGATAACAACACGGCGTCAAATTCAGTTTTTTTTTCACAGCAATTTTCGTTTGTTAAGTGAGCGTTTATTCAGTTTATCCATTGGAAAACTATTATTAATTTTTATTTATGTTTGCCAGATTTTAATAACTTTAACACATTTTTCGAAAGCGAAAAACTTGTTTCATTTAGACGGTAAATGGTTTTCATTCAGTTTTAAATTGAATGACCGTTTATCGATGTTTTTTTTCTTCAGTTTATAATAAAGTTTTCATACACTGTTTGAAGAATTTTCAATGAACATAATTTAATTTCCTTCAATTTCCAAGAAATAATTTCTATTCTGGTTGTACTCACCTTTTTGAAAAACATTCGCGTATGGATCGATGTATGTTGGAGGTGTTGGCTGTGGTGATGCATGTGGGAAATAGCATCTTGGTGGAATTAAGTCAAACAAATTGGGAAGAAACTGTGTTCGGCCGTTTAAACTATTGTTAAATGCCATCGGAAGATCTGTGAATGCGCTGGCCGCCGGCACAGATACACTTGATCTAGTTGCACTTTGGCATAATATTTCATCAATGCTGAATGATGACTTTAAATTTGAACTACACATTATTACGATTTGTTTGGACCGAAAATACAAATCTAAATGTTTAAATTTCCAAAAAAATGAATAAAAATTAGCGATTTTCGTCGATAGAATTTAAATCAGAAGCACTTTCTTTGTGACATTTGTTCAAAAAAACACCATGTGTGTCCTTTTGGTTCGCAAGAGAAACTAAATAAATGAATTGGTGAATATTAGAGGAGCAGTGGCATTGATAAGGTGCGGATTTGAATCAAATTCTTTTTTTTTCGATAACGGTCGTTGCTGTTATTTTCATTACAGCCACATTGCTGTCAGGTGTAGAAACGAATTAAAGTTATCTTTTGACGAATTAATCGCTAATAAATGCCTGTATATTATCAATTGTGGTGTATTAAATGCTCTTCACAACGATATGCTCTGTAATTTAAGTAACAGTAAAAGAAACACATCGATTCATTTCAAATAACAAAAATTGCCCCGATTTCGGGCCATTGGGATATATAATCCTCTTGCTTTATTGTAATACAAAAAATGTGATGTACAAAATACAGATTGTGTAAAAGGGTGTTTTTTTTATTTTCTAAAAAAAATGCTTGGCCAAGTGGCAAAATAATCTTCGTTGGGTATTTTGAAATACGCTTAAGGCACAATATCAAAGCCATTTTCAATTAAATTCCGTTGTAAAATAACAATTTTTGTTCTCTATGATCTTACTTATTTTGAGCCAATGGCCTTGAATACGAAAGGCACTAATCAAATCTCTGATCATTTTAAATACAAATTTCGGATCACTCTCATACGTATTGGAGAATTAAGCTAATTTTTGTTTTTGATGTTGCTTTTGAAAATTGAACATTACATCTAAGAGAAAAGATCTTCATAATTTCCGAATTTAACACATTGATATAAGATATCGCATATAAATAAAACTTATTCTGATTTAGTTAACTTTAAAAGTTGCAATTGGAATGTAGGTATGAATAAGAGAAGGCCGCCGATGATGTACGTTGACGATGCACCGATTCCCCAGAATGCTGCAAATTGAAAAAGAAATCACAATGTCATTTGAATTTGTAGCTTTTCTTGCATTTCAAATTAATTCAGGGGATTTTAGATTTGAAAATGGTTCATCACAAAAACTAAATTGCTTTTGTTGCAAAAATGTCTTTATGTCAAATTGACACTCAAAATTTTCGAATTTAAAATTTTTTAACGCCATTTAATTTTGAAACTGAATTTTTTTTATTGTTTATTTACCGATCGAGGCAAAAATTGGTCCGACAGCTCTAGCCAGGGCACCAATTGATCGGAATATGCCAAGCACGATTCCCTTCTGATCGTGTTTTCCATACTCAGAAATGAGTGTTGTCATGCACGTCACCACGAATGCCGTTGCTGTAATAAAAACATTTCATGATCACGATCGACAAAGTTCCCGCAGACGAGAATATTCTGTAGAAGTGTGCGTCAAGAAAATACTTACATATGGCAAACAGAATCATGCCAGCGTACAAAAGTTTGCTATCGTTGGCTAGGCCAACCAAAATGAATGCCGGAATGATTAAGTACAAGCCAAAAACGGCCGATGGTTTGACATAGTGCGGTGGTAGCCGTCGCACAACTGACCCTTGCAAAATGGCCATCACAACGCCAGTGGTGACAAACATTTTGGCCTGATCAACCGAGGTATAGCCCAGCTTATGGTACATGAGGAAAGTGATTGTGAACTCCAAGCCCGAATAGATAAACAAGTAGATAAAGTAAATTAGGCCAATCCGTTTCAAACAGTACAATTCGTTCTTTGTAAGATTTTTAACGGCAACGAAACTATTTCAAATGAAACGAAACATAAATTATGAGTAAATTACGATTGAATAGGTAGTTTGAAAGGAGAAGAAGAAGTAAAATAGAGAAGAAAAAAACAGTTACTTGAATATGGCACGAACGCTGATATGATCGAGTGCTTGTCGAACCGATCCAATCACTTGTTTTGCTCGTTTCTCCTGTTGAAAAGGTCAAATGTTATTTTCATTCAGACCATTAATCATACTTGAAAAGTAATAATAAATGAAATTGTTGTATTTTTACCTGTGGCAAACTTTCATTGAAAAATCGATAGACAAAGAGAACGTCGGCTAAGCTGAGTAAGAAGGCGAACGTAGCTGGATACCAGAACCACATGCTCGAAGTTTTGTCGGTGAATATTGAGAATAGGGCGCCAATGGTTGGGCCAATAATGAATCCAATGGAGAATGCAATGCCCACCAAAGCCATGGCTTTTCCGCGATTTTTCACATTCGACACATCGGTGATGATGGCCATACTCAGTGAAATGTTGCCCTTGCTCAGGCCGCCAACAAATCGCGCCAGCACGAATATGAAAAAATTTGACGATAGTGCCCACAGCACATACGAACATGAGATTCCAACCTACAAAACACAAATTGCATCATTATTCCAGGTTCAATTTTATGGTTTTTTCAACAGAAAAACCAATTGGAAAAATTGATCATCGCATGAAACTCACTAAACTAATGAGCAAAATTGGCTTTCGGCCATAGCAATCGGAAAGTGCTCCCATGATGGGGCTTACGACAAATTGTAAGAAGCTAAACATGGAACCAAGGAAGCCGCCAAATAGCACTGAACTGTATTTGTCTGGTGCACCGACCAACACTTGAAAATAGCGGATTTGTGAGGATAATCGAACGTATAGTCCGCTGCTATCGTCATTTCGATATCGTTCCAGAATCGTTGGTAACAGCGGCAATATTATGGTAAACGCCAGCAAATCCAATAAAAGTGATAAGAATATAATGTAAACGCTTTTGTGTGTCTTATCGTCGCTGCCTTCCTGCTCCTTCTTTTTGTTCTGCTGCTGCTGCTGCTGCTGCTGCCGCTCAATGCCGTTGCTTGTCGCAGTCACGCTTTGAACTTTTGTTCTAATCATCGTGTCGATTTCGGTCGGTGTTTTTATGGCCTCTCTTAATTCTTAAAATGTACAAAACGGAAACAGCAATTAACAATTTATTATTAGAGCGCGTACCGCACAACGGAACAAATATAATTGACACCGTTCAATACTTTCAACTGGTATTGACCGGTCGAAAATGGGAAATGTGAACGAGAGACTCGAACTAAGTGTTTTCGAAATAACAACAACGACGAACAATTGTTACACTTGTCAACATTAGAATTTGTAGGAGTTGTCATTATTTCAAACAGATCTTCTTTGAAACGGTAATTAATCAAAACACAAATAAAGAGGTATGTTAGGTTATCGTCACGTTTACCAAAATCTCAACATGAAGACTGAACTGGACACCACAACAACATCAGCATAAAAATTTTGAACAAAAAAATCTAAACAAATATAGTTTAACCGCTTAATAGACTTTTACACATTGTTTATCCGAAACATACAAAACCGACGAACTCAATAGAAAGTTATGAATTTTTTTTTATTTGTACGAACAACAAATAATAAAGATGCTTGTGCTCCAATTTTCTTTGGATATCAATTTTTGAATTATGATATTCGTAAATGTAGCCAACAAGTCGATCCACTTTCTCCAAATCTGTTGAGAGCTACTTGCTGCTGCTGCTATTCCGTTCGTTCGTTCGTCGTCGTTTTCTTCTTTCTTTCTCAACTTCAAACTGCAATCGAAATTTGACACTAACAAACAACAATAATAAAACTTCAACTGTAACAGAAATCGTTTAATTGTTCGTTTGGAGATTGGTTTTTTTTATTTGTATTGTTTCGGAACTGAATTTTTCTTTGCTGAATACTCAAAAAAAAATGTTATTCGCCGCTTTCAAAATGCGGTTACCATTTCAACAAATACCAAACTACAATAGCCATCCAATATCCCTACCATAATTTTTATTTGTTGTTTCTTTTAAAGAGCACTGATTGAGTTTACTGGTGTGTTTCGTTCGGATTACGTTGTTCGTCTTTCTTCTCGTGTCTCTCTTGCTTCTGTTCAAAATCAGTGCGTGCATGTGTAATGAATCAAAAAGAGAACACAAACCAAACAAATAACTCGTGGCCAAAACTCTAATGAGAGACAGACTCCCCTTCTCACTCCCGCGATGCACAACACACACACACACACACCGCTCGCTCTTACAATGGTAAATGTAATTAATGCGATAATTTGGTTTCTCTTTCTTATTTCTACCTTTATGATCGTTAATGTATTGGAATCATGCAACCGAAGACCACGGCATTTGTTTGTGTTTAACGAAACCAAACAACAACAACCACAACGTACGAGAAGAAGAAAAAAAACAACAACGAATATTTTCACTTTTTCTGTCAATCTGGCTGTGGATTGTGCCGTGCAAAGCCACAACACAACACAACACAGCGCACATAGCAGCATGCACGAAACGCTCGTGTGAATAAGTGGCGTGTGCAGTGACTACGTTTTTAGACTATGAAAATTATACCGGCCGTTCATTCAAAAAAAAAAACGGAATTTTGACAGATTTCCCGAAAACAAACCACCAACACTTCATACGCCAGTGTGTCCGTGTCTCCATTCTGCCAAATACATACTCGTACATACACAAACCATTCAGAGTTTTCATTGCAAAACTCGAACGAAACGTAATAGATTCCGTATTGCGGAACTTTGAACACTCTAGCAAGCAAACGATAACAGCAGACGAGAAAAAAAAACAAATCGCAACAGCGTTTAATATTCAAGATGATTTGATGCATTTATCGTGCGCGGTGCGATGATTCATATGAAATGCCAAGCGATTCATTCGTGATTCGACGTACAACAATCAACAACGTTTTGCGACAGCAACAACACATTCATTGGAAAAATTGTACTAGAATGCGTGTATTGCTTTGACAATTGCCCAAAAATCATAGAACAATCTGTGTACATTGGCATACATACGCGCGAACACACGCACACACACACACACACACTCACTCACACGACTCGTGCAGATTAGGTTTCATCAAACCAAAATCAAACCGAGTGACTCACGCACACAAATTAAACGCCATGCATGTATATATTCTGTGTGTATTTTTCTTATTCTGGCAACAGTGAACGGAAAGTGAAATGAATGAATGAATGGCTATGGCAATCTAGTAGGCAGCCGAAACCAGTAGATGGTTGGATAGATGTGTAGAATAGAATGTGAGTGAGTGATTGAGTGAATGAGAGAGGGCATGCGTTCGACGTGCACAAACACACAGCGAGAGAGAAAGAGTTCGAGTGAATTGAGAGAACGGGGAAGAGAAATAAAGGAGCAGAAGAAGGAAAAGAAGAAGAAAAAAAAAAATAAACGAGAAGAGACAAATAGTTCTGAAAGCTAGCAGCTGAACATGAAACGGTTGTTGAGGCCCAATGCCAACTTAAAGTCAATAAATTCTTATTTGTAGAGTACAAGACATCAAAACAAAAACAGTGTTCACACATTTCAAAAAGAAAAATGTATTCTTTTTTATTTATATTTTTTAATTAGATTAGTTTGTAGTGCATATAAATATATTTTATAAAGAAAAATTTAGTTTTTTTTTTGTTTATCGATTATCGTGTGTGTGTGTACCGTTCGGTTTTTTATTTACTCTGTCTTCGACCCGTAAAATTTAAGTGAAATGGCCTCAGTAAGGTAAATCAAAGATTCGATATATATGCGTATAGATTACATTGTAGAGTGTGTATATCCGGTACATGGTACAAAAATGAATTGACATGAGATTTTCGGAACATTTTGCCTTGTGTCTTCCGACACTCGCCGTAATTTTATTTCGTGTATCGATGACTGTGTGTGTTTTTGCGTATATACAAAAAACCAATGACCCGTGATTCAAACAGTGAATCCTTCGTGTGTTTAATAGAAAAACAAATCAAATGTTTATTTTTTCGAGCGTAAAGGAGAAGAACCCAAGACAATGCAAAAAAAATAAAAAAATTGGGCGTGACGTATGAACAACATAAACCAATATTTCGGAAGCGGAATGAACGCGCTTGACATTTGCTACGGTTTAAAGAATTTTCTGAGAATTTTGGTCGGTGATTCATTTGTGAGGATGTTTCGCACACGGATTTGTCGTTGCGATTCCAGAAATCAAAAGAAAATAGGCACATGAGGATTTAATTAAATCGCATCCGTTGCGATTGACAATGCGCCATAAGACAATAGCATTCGTCGGTGCTTGCTTGCTCCAACATTGCCATTGCCGTTGCCGCTGTCGCTGGTTCTACTGCTGCTGCTGCTGCTGCCATTCATTCGCATTTTGGTATTGCCTACATACATCGTGCAAGTATTGTAATGCAATCAAGTATCAGAAAAGAGCGGAGCGGAGCTACTTCGGTTTGGCTCGAACTCGGTTGAAGTGCATCGGCAAATGGGGTAAAGAAACACACTTTTGTGTGTGTCTTTCTCTCTCTCGTGCTGACTTGCTCGATCTCTTTGCTTCATAAATATGCTGCATGTCTCTCTACTTCTTTATTTTACATTTCTTCTGTCGTCATTTTGTCATTTCAAAATAATCGGATGTAAATATTCTTCTTCGTGCCGTACATGAAAAAAACACACTTTTTTTTTCATATATGTAGATATGTGTGTTATGCCGTTTTTGCCTATTGCCTCTCTATCGTAACGTTACTCTCGGCGGTTGATGACGAGTTCCTTGGGTTCTTTTCGGATATTTTGTTCATGCGGTGTGCGTTCTGGCCTCACTCTATGTATGGCTGAGTGTTTGAGTTCGGATGTGTGTGTATGTGTGTCTGTGCGCATGTATGTGAGTGTTTGCAGAGAGTGCACAAATGAACGAAAAACATTTCTGAACTATTCTCCGCTTATCTCCGTATATTATGCATGTGTACACTCTCCGTGCAGTACATGCGAGAGTTGAATCCATTGCAGAGCACTACATATGTTTCATACCAGCAGCGTACAGTTTTTGTTCGCAGATCGACAAACAAAAACGCGCATTAGGGAAAAACATATGCATCGCAAAGAGTCGACAACGACAACGACAACAGAAACGGCGGCGGCGACGTCGAATACGGTGGAGAGATAGACACAGGCACAGGCACAAGGCACAAGGCACTGGCACTGCCATAGGCACAGGCAAAAGGCGCACACTAAAATATTCGGAATGGAAGTTTTGTCAGTCATTTCGTAATGTGAAATGGATAAGCAAAAGGAATTGCATGCATTTTCTTTTTCGTTGCCCATTCAACGACAAATTGCAATACCGTTGTCATTGCCCGAACAATTTTATTTCTGTACACAACCAAATTCGACGATGCAACCAGAAAACCGATTTATTTTCAAACATTCGAACAATTTCCATCAATTTAAAGTGCATTTTAAAGTTTGTTGTTTTGGTCTCTCGACGAAATATCTGTATATAGTGCCCCAGAGTGTTTGTGTGTATGAAGCAACGATATAAAATTAAGTGCGATTTAAAGAGAGATGAAGAATTAAAAAAAATGTGAATCAATTTGTACAAATGAAAAATGAAAAAATTTATTTCGAAAAAATAATACAAAAACAACAAAAAAGTGAAAATAGAAAATATCGAGTGAAGAGAAGAAACTAAAAATAGGGAGAAAAAAATGCTATCACACGGACAATCAAGGTTGTTATCGTCAATAATATGCCTAAAACTGAAAATTTCCATGTCGATATCAAAATTTTGATCCATGAACCCATTTAGTCACAGAGTGTAGAGTGATGATTTAATAGCATAATGATTCAAATTACATATTTATTTTCTGTATTTTCAGAATCGAATGGGTGGAAATAATCGAACCTCGTACGAGGGAACACATGTATGCCAATCTAACGACGGGCGAATGTGTATGGGATCCACCAGAGGTAAGAGGAATTAGAAATCCTTCATACGTTGCATTGAATGATTGCAGTTGCACGGCACATGAGTGCCATTTTTCGTCCTTGACCTTACAGCCGTATTTCCTTTCCACTTCCGTTATGCATTTTTTCTCTGTCTCTCTCTCTCTCTCTCTCTCTCCATCATCGTCTTCATTGAAACACTCACACACACTATATTTTGATCTGATGGAATAACGAAGAAAAAAAAACCCATTTTTGCAAATAAGAATGGAAATTACAGCAATGGTCTCAATTAATTAAAACAATTACGATTTTACCCGATGACACAATTTGTTCTCCATTGTTATTGTTATTGTTGTTGACCATTTGTTACAGGGAGTGAATATCAAGCGAACTGACGACTCACAGTGGTGGGAGCTGTTCGATAAAAATACGAAACGTTTTTACTATTACAATGTTTCGTCGCAAACGACGGCCTGGCATCGTCCAACGAATTGTGACATAATCCCATTGGCCAAACTGCAAACGCTCAAACAAAACACGGATCCAAACGATGCACGCGATGATTTTCCGGGCTCATCAAATTCGAAATATGGCACGGATCAACGATACGATGACACAAATCGTTCGCATGGTTCGGCAAGCAACACATCAAATATTTTACCACCACCGAGCGCACCTGAATCTCGAAGCGCCGATATCCTATCTCACATATCGGAACGACACAATAGCTATAGGTTTGTATATGCCTTGATACCGCACCTTTGTTAACAATTTGTTATTTCCGATCAATAGAGAGTACTTTTTTATGGCCGTAAATCAACCACGATATTTTCCATTCAATACTGAAAAAAAAAATTTAAAAAAAATACAAACTATGTTTACAGTCGCCTGTCTCCTGGGGACTCTGCTTCCACAGGCAAAACAAAATCTCATCGTTACTGCCGGCACGCTCAAGGTATCGATTTTGTTCGATTTTATTGTGCACATCATTTGCAATTTTATCACGTTTGGTTCAAAAGTTTTATTCACTATCGCTTTTTGTCTGTATTTCATTTTAAATCAATTTGTTTTTGTCAAATATTTTTTTTGAAAAAAAAAAAAATAGGCTCAACTCCATCGCACGGTGGAAAACCGAATCTAGACTCGGGGAAATCAAGTGATTCCAGTTTATCGAGTAGTTACAGACATGGTCACGATAGCGGCAGCTTACGCATGGATCAACGATCCAAGCACCTAGCAGACAATACGTGAGTCACACCCATAACATTTGATTCGATATTTTTTCCTCTTTTTTCTCTCTCCAGTATTAAGCAATTGTGTTTTGTTGATTTCAGTTATCGAAAAATGCAAGAAAGTTCCAGTTCACACAGTATTCCCCACGTAGCATTATCATCGGATTCGAAAGCACCGTCGATATCCTATTCAGCATCACACACAACGGATATGAGTAGTGCACAGTCAACGAATACACCGCAATTCAAAAAGAAACTGCTATCGGAGAAGTCACCATCTTCATCGGCACGAGAAAGTGGTCACATTGCAAAACATCAAAGTTTCGATTATGCCAAAAGTTCGTATGCCACATCTTTCCCTTCATACGTGTTCCTTCGATTCACAATATGTTTATACCCATATTCAATATGCACTTTGTACTTTGATATATATATATATATATGAATATGACTCTCTGAGTTCCATCACATGGAATGATACGTGTAACGGCATTTTTTTACACGGAACTTCGTTCCCAGTGCGCCGAGCACTTGCTACGTGTAATAACCTGTGGTTTCTAATATTCGGATAGGTTCGCTCTATATGTAGCAAGTGCTCGGCTCACTGGGAACAAAGTTCCGTGTGAAAATATGCCGTCACACGTATCATTCCATGTGATGTAGCTCAGAGAGGATTGTGATTATTTTTCTATTTATTTATTTTTCGTTTCGTTTTGTTCGATGTTCAGATTCTCCCATGGTGTCGTTAGTGCGATCGGGTAGTTTTATGTCAACGCCAAAGCAAACAAATATTGTTAAAAAAGGTAGCATCGATGGCAATGGTGGTGGTGCAAGTGATGATTCCATGCATGAAAAATATTTCAAATCAGTTGAAAATACGCCAGTGTCAAAGCGGCGCAACCAGTCTTTGTCAGCCTGTACTAATCAAAAGCACTCAAGTGATTCCAGTCCTCATAGTCCAATGAGCCCAAAGAAAAATGTAATTCTTGTTTGTCATGTTCTCACTATTCACACACACACACACACACAATGTTATTTGTGTCGTTTAAATCTTTTTTCACTTTTTTATATTTGCATTTGATTTGTGCTGAATTATCGACACTTTTCCTTTCGATCATTCAATATGTCACTTTATCTCTCTCCCTGTAGACACTGCGAGCATCAAGGCCCACAGCTCTATCTAGTACAGCTGAACCATTTCACTTATTTAAATCTAGTCAAGATACTAATAACAGTTTAGAGAAAAGTTCCAAACATGAACGGTAAATAGTACTATTGGCACGTGCCAAACGTGGAAATATCTCCTAGAAATGATTGTCATTATTGACGAACGGATTATATGCATTGGTTTTTTCTGTTTTTTAGGTATTTGGAAAAGATGCGTAAAGAAATGCCAAATAAAACTTCTCCTTCCAGTGAGGCCATTGAGCATAGTACATCCGCTGTTTCAATAAGTAAAATCAATAATTTATTCAAACCATCATCGTCAACATCAACCAACAAAAGCAGTGCATCTAGTCATTACAACTCAAATTCAATTGGCAAAAGTTCAACTGGAAAAGAGGTAACCCAGATTGGGAATAATGTAGCAAGTGTTTGCACACATATATATATACACTCCCGCAAATGGAACAACTGACTGAAATTTCACTCTGTGTCTTTTTCTTCCTTTCATTCGCATCACCATCTTTAAATGCCTTTTAGAAATCCAATTCCCACACGCAGTACATGGATCGATATAATTCACTGTCCGAGAAACAAGATCGAAAAACTTCATCAATCAAAGCCAAAAAGCATCAGTCTTCAGCAAATAGCGATGTTGATTATGTCGAATACGACAATGACAATATGTCGCCATTATACAGCAATTGGGATCAAGTAAGCCTACATTAATCAATGCCTCCGTTCTTTTTCGACCATTGCACATTTTTACCTAAACCTAATTCTGCTACTTTGCATATTTACAACCCATAGGAAACACAAGAACATTTGCTCCCACTGCAACATTATATTATCGAGCAGGCAAAGCTGTCTGGCAGCTATCACATGGGCGATGCGCTTGATTCTGATTCGCTGCACTCCGATAGTCAATCAGAGCATTCGTTTTCGGGTCATGAGCCAGACAATGAAGATTCGGATCATTCAGATAGTCAAGGTGACTACTTGGCACACCATTACAGCACCACTATGGATGATTATGGCGAAGTTTATTACAATGTACACATCGGATACGAACGAAACCAAAAACAGGACAATATGTATGTATCGCTTTTCAATTTAGTCAATCGACATATTTGGGTTAAATGATTTTTAATTGAAATTGTACCGGTGTGCCCATCGTAGATCGGAGGAGGTCGAACATCGTTTGGAAAGAGAATGCGGCCAAATCTATAGTCCAATCAAAAATCATCCATTTTTTCAACAGCAGCCGCAACCCCAAAGTCAACCGTACAATTCGCATCAGAGTCAAAAAAGCCAGCCAAGTCAACAACCACAACCAAAACCCCAGCCACACCAAACTCAATCAAAAACCGGCACTACTCAATCGCAACAATCAAAAAAGTCACAACCAGAATCAGGTTCAATATTCTCTATCAACATGTTTCTGTGCAAAAAATCGAAAAGAAAAAAAAACAATCGCACGCAATTAAACCCAGTTCCCCAAAGATCAACAACATTTTCAACTTGCAAAACTTTTCTATTTTCTCTTTTCTCAGATGTTGCCAATTATCAAAAAACTCAACCGCAATTCTCGCAGCCATACGCTAATCTACCAAATGTTACAAAAGCAATGCCAAGCAAACTACCGCCAACACTTCCGATCATGAAGGAATGCAATATTGAAAAGTTTGCCCAAGATAATTTGAACCTACACTCGAAGGGTTTGTTCCGAAAGAAATCGTCGATACGCGATATGCTGAGCTGGACACCAGACTCAATCAGTCGGCCCATGTTGGCGGTGTCTAGAGACAAAGCGACCAAGAAAATGGCAACGGAAATGTTTAAATTGATACAAATTTATATGGGTGACCGTAAGGCACGAGACGGAATGTCACTCAATTCGGTCGCGATGGATATCATAACAACAGCATTGGCACAACCGCCGCTCCGCGATGAACTGTACATTCAATTGTGTCGCCAAACAACCGAAAATCATATTCGTGGTTCGCTCATCAGAGGCTGGGAATTGCTTGCGATTTGCTTGTCATTTTTACCACCATCGCCCACTTTTCAACCAGCTCTACTCAAGTATGCTTATACATCTGTTTGCCAATGAATCAACACTAGGCATTCGATTCAATGAATTACATTGTTGTTTTCTGTCTCTCCCTCTCCGATTTAGCTACATGAATCGTCACCGAGATCCAACTTTTGCCACAACTTTTCCGGAAGTTGGAAAATGGCCAATACACGTACAAGTGTCACATTATGCAACTGTAGCTTGTCGACGACTCGAACGAATCGGTAGCAATGGTAAAAAACAGGCCAAGAAACCAAACGAAGATGAAATCGAACAATCAAGAGTAAGTTTGATGAAGACAGCATTTTATTAGAAATTTATTGAACATTTTCTTTACGAGAATAAAAAAATAAAATTTTTGTTTCAACAGGAGCAAATTATTCGCAAGAGTATGTTTGGCAATACATTAGACGAAGTGATGGAATTGCAAAAAGATCGCTTCCCATATCGTAAATTGCCATGGATTCAAGTGACACTTTCGCAACAGGTAAACCCAAAATGATTAAAATTGTTTAAATCCGAAAACTAACATCGTGTGTCATTCATTGGTTCAAAGGTTTTACTATTAAACGGAACACAAACAGAAGGTATATTTCGTGTATCGGCTGATGTGGACGAGGTTGCCTATTGGAAGGCACGTTTAGATCGGTGGGATGTTCCTGAGCATAAGAGTACAATGGGTAAGTGAAAAGAAAGTGAAAAAAGCAATTTTGAATTTTCAATTGTGAATTCATCCCCGATTTTCGCATAAACTAATTGATTCATGCGTTTTGACAGATGCACACGCGCCAGCAAGTCTACTGAAACTTTGGTATCGTGAACTTTATGACCCGTTGATACCGGATGAATTATACGAAGAGTGCGTTGCAACAGAGGATCCTGAAACGGCAGCGGCAATCGTTAATCGATTACCACCACTTAATAAATTGGTATTTCATGGCACATTTTATTGCAAACATAGTGACGCCGTCTCTAATTATATTTTGTTTACGACATGTCTTTCTTTCCCTTTCATTCTTATTAGGTACTAACTTATTTAGTATACTTCTTGCAACAATTTTCTCAGCCCGACATAGTTGCGTGCACAAAAATGGACTCATCAAACCTTGCGATGGTGTTTGCACCAAATTGTTTACGATGCACATCACAAGATCCAAAGGTTATATTGGAAAATGCTCGCAAAGAGATGTCATTTATGCGTACATTGATCAGCCATATGGATACTTCGAGCGTTGTCAATTTGGAGTAAAAGCGAAAAAAGAGAGAGAAAAAAAATATAAAACACAAAAATCAAGCAAGAGCATTATAACAATAATTGTACAATAACAACACGTTGCTAAAAGAAAATTACAAATTAAAATCATGGATAAATAATGAATTTGAAATGAATTTTTTCATTGAATCAGCACACATAATGTTTCCGGAATAAGCGAGCAATGGTGAGTAAATAGGCGCGTTCGCCCAATGGACCATGAAAGAAGTTGGAATTTTGCATGCGAATTAATACCGCAATCATTCAACGTGTTCATCATCTAAATTCCAGTCCGCTATTACAATTGAAATAACAACAACAACAACAAAATTTAAATCGCACGAGATTCAATGAGACAAATCATTTTGTATAACTAATCTTTATTGAATTTATTAAAATTAATTCCAAATTGGTTTCCGACGTGAAATATTAAACTCTGTTGTAAAATTTTCAGTTTCTTTTCTTCTTCTTTTTTTTCTTCTTGTTTGTAATTGTTGTTGTTTTATTTAATAAAAAAACGTTTGCGTCATGTGTCCACCATATCAGCTTTTGCCCTCGAAATGTTTCGGAGCATCAGCATATGTGAATTTTAAACGATATGCTTCGGCAACTAGAATACCAATATACGAGTCATTCCAATTTTGTGTGGGCAAATTCTGCAGCAACAACATCAAACCCTATTCGAAATGAACAGACATAAGAAATTTATTGCTAATTGATCGAAAGATATTTGTTTTGTTTTTTATTTCTTCCTTCAATAGTGACATTGTGTTTTACGTATTTATATGAAAATATTCACCTGGAATTCGGTCTCCTTGAGTAGTTGCTCTCGCCAATGTAGCAAAAATGCCGCACAAACGTACAATTGAAATACTGCGAAACCGTCTGATTCGGCTAAATATGTGTCCCATAGACGGATGGTTGAATGTAATGGCAGTTCTCTGGTTAGGAGATTATTCATCCAGCGGAACGAAAATTGTAAATAGTCAACACCATGCGATTGTAAGTGATTGTGAAGGGTTCCTGTTAGATCAATAAATGAATATATATGTCTTATTGGTGCGGAAACATAGAGAGAAAACCTCTTGTTTTTTTTTTCTTTCTTATTTCTATTCATGTTTTCTAATCGATTTTTGTAAACGATTCAACCATAACAACAACAACAACATCAAAAAACAACAATGAAAACAAATCTTGAAAGAGAGAGAGAGAGAGAGAGAGAGAAAACGAAGCACACAAACCGTCGATTCGTTGTATCAACTCTTTTAATTGATTCACTTTGGCCTGTATTCCCAGCTGTGCAAATATGTAATTGTCCTGAATACAGTCGAGAAATTTTGATAAGCACCAGAAAGAATCGGCTTCGATAATATTTAATTGCTCTTTCGACAGCGTGTCCAATTTGAATGTATCAAGTTCAACGACTAAAAGAGAATTACAATGCATAGAACAAGATGATGGCAGTCGAAGCATTTGCAGCCGCAGAAAATTAGCAGAACATACAAGAAATGAGAAAGAGAGAGAAAATTAAATGTAATAAATGATTGTTTTTCTGTTCATATAGGCTAAAATGCCATATGCAAACGGAATGTTCCGATTGCGATTGACAGAAAATGAACGAAAGCAACAAAAATAACAACAACTAACTTAGATCGACGGATTCAAGCGCTTCTTGCAGAAATACGATGAAAAATGGTGTTACTAAATCGTTGATGCCTTGCACATAGCCAGATGCTGGATGCCGTATAGCCCAAATGAATAGAATGCGTTCGAACATTTCCTGTACGAGTGTTTGCTGAAATAGTCGGATATGTGGATTCATACGTGGCATATCAATGTGTATTTGACGGAATGTTTCTTGTTGCGCCTCGTCCCTGCTCTCAACGCGAAAATATTGTTCAACTAAATTTAAATAGTTCAGTCGTTTGTGTTCTAAAATTGAGTTGCGGCGTTCAAATGACGTTGGCACATAGCCCGACAGTAGGCGCCATGTGACAGCGCGCATTTTTTTCGGTATACCCGACCAGCTGAGCTCTTTTAAATCACGTAAATTCAGCTGCGGATCGTCGAGTAATGCTTTGAATTTCTCAATTTTTGATTCGTACTCCACGTCACGTGACGACAATTGCGTTGAAAATTTTTGCAATTGCGGACGACCTGGAAACGAGTTCATGTACCGCAATTTTGGTCGAATCGATTCTGACGAAGATGATTTGGCCACATTTCGGGCATCCGATGCAACAACATTCGATGACATTTGATGACACCCTTCCGAATTATCACTACATTCATCAGATCGTTCTGGTGGTGGTTTGACTTGAGAATTGGCGCTGGTCGCAGCTGCTGCTGCCGCTGCTGTCACTGCTGGCGCCGTCGCCGTCGTTGACACTGAACCAGCCCCCTTTTGGGCATTGTTATCACTGCTTTGATGGATTCCAATGAAATTTTTATGCGTTTTAATGACACTCAAGGCGGCCGATTGTGACACTTTTTTCGAGATTTTCGCATCTAAAAGAAAAACAAAAACATATTCACAACTTGAATTAATTTCACTTTGCTTCTCGTGCTTTTTGCTTCTCTGCACACTTGTTAAAAATAAACTATGGCGTGTCGTCGTTTTCGAAATGCGGAGATTTCGAATGCGAACATAAAATTGTGGAAATAAAAAGAAGAAGAAATTGAGTACAGCTTCGCACTTACTGCTCATTTCCGACACAATACAAAATTCATCGTCACCAATATCCCAAGCGTCACGCACCGAATTCTGAAAGTCTTGAAATGATGTTGAACCAATTGGACCCTTTACACTTTTTGCCAGCAATTTGTTTTCTTTTTTCGGACTTGGACGACCCGGTACCAATCGACCATTGTGTTTCCAAAATGAATTTTCACGACTACTTTCCATTGTTTTTGCCTAAATATACGCTTTGTACGATCAACTAAACTTAATTCAATTACAAAATAAAAATTTAATAAACAACAATAATGAACGAAAAATATTGCATCGACTTATGTGTATTTGGTCACTTTTAATTTATAGGGCATTAATCGTCTTGTCATTTGTTATTGTCATAATAATACGAATGGGAAAAAGCAACACAGACACTCTCAGGCGCGCACACACACTCACTGGCACAGGCAACACAAGCACAAGGGAATGAGCAAAAAAAACAACAACGTCGATGTCGATGATAAGGTGGTGTGTGAGAGCGCACACGGTAAATGTCAAAATGGAATATTGTCTACGGCACGAAGTTGTGTGCTTTAGTTTCATATCGTTTTGTAGGAACATATGATTAAAACAAAACCATTCAGGTGGTGTATGGTAATACACATTGGTGATGAAATCCGAATTGCCTGCAATATTTCAACACTGTCGAAGAGATTTGAAAACGCATCATCGTTTTGCATCATCAAAATGCGCCTGTTGATTTGATTTCGAGAACTGTCATCATTGTCGCAATTGTCAACCATTCAAACGAAGACGGAAAAAAACAAGTTGTATTTGTACATGAAGCTTCTTTATTAATCGTTGTAAAAAAGTAAAGAACAATATTCCAAGCCTTATCAGTTTAGTGATTTTTCACATCAAGTGTGTATAAATATCCTGTTAAGTGAAAATCCCAATTCAAGTTGCAAATTCAAGTAGATTGTTGCAGCGGTCGGTCGGCTTAATTGGCTAAAATCGAGTGTAAATTTGTTTCATGAATTCGAATTCAGTGTGTTACCGCAATGACATCAGAAAGTGAGGTACCACTTGATATCGGCGATAAATACAAGACCGTTCTCAATGCGCTCATCCAACAAAATTACCATGTTATGAACGATGTTTACCTTGACATGTTCATCTCACACATATCGGGAAAGAATGGAAAAGGTGATTACCAATTCCTTTGTTCTTTGTTCATTTGATTTTTTTCCTACCGAATAGCCTTAGAATCAAAGAAATGAATAATTTAGCGACAAATAAAAATTATTTGTTGTGATGACTTGACCATTGGATCCATTATTTCTATTTAGACTATTCTGCATTATTGACGGATGAATTTACGTTTGAATGGATCGAAAGATCGGTATCGAAGATATTCGGTGAACATACGAAGAGTGTGAACGGTTTGGCATTTACCTGTCAACTCATCGGCTTGCTGACGGAAAATCCAGAACACTTTTTGAGACTGAAACAACGGAACGTGTACAGTAGGTACGTAAAAATGAGAATGACACACCAGATACCAGAAACTAAATGGATTTAATCAATTTTCTGTTTTAGTATTCAAAATGGTTTAAATGAATCGAGCGATCTGCAAACTCCGTCGGCAAAGTTAGCGTTGATCGCATTGTATCAGTCGATGTTGAAGCATGATGACGGCGTTGAATGGCTAAAAACTGAATTGGCATGGAAGCAAGCAATAAGCTATTGCATTGAAGATCAAACCATTTATGTGGTGCGCCGTGCCAAGGAGTTCATCACTGAATTTTTATTTCGCATAGCCAACGACGAGAATCTATGCTTAGATGTTATCGTCGAAATTTCCAGACCCATTACGGAGAATGTGTTTAGCAGCGAAAAGGGAAATGTGTGTGTCGATAGCTGTGATTTACAGCACAAAGTTACGCCATCCATCAATATCATTTGCACCGTGCTAGAGCGTTACATTCAACTCAATCAAAAATCATCAATCGCACATCACATTATCAAAACCACAAAAAGTCAAGTGAATCTATGGAAACTGTTCGACATGACACATGATCACACACTATTCGATCGAATCACACAATGTTTGATTTATGTGAACTTTGGGCTGTTGGTCGATAAATTAAATGCCAACGAAATTCCGGACAATACACCCATTTCAGTGATTGACTTCAATGATTTTGGTCTGACTTTTTTGAACTTTTCCAAAATATGCATTTTGCGTAATCAAAATGAAGCGCTGCTAAATGGTTCACGTCTCTATTATGCGATGTGGAAAATTATGGGCGATCGTGTGCCCGAAGAAATTATTCTCGGCAATCAATTGACTAAATTCGAGAATCAAGTGATTCTCTTTCAAATACTGCCACTTATCAGTGTTATGTTTCAATACGGCGATAATTGTTATCCAGAGCTACTAGATGATTATGTCATGAAATTGTTCCACATTTCCACTGAGCACACACTGCGAATTTGCTATTCATTTCGAAATTCGGTGACCGACGGCAATGTGGATCTGTATGATTTGGCCAGCAAAGCAATTCGGGGAATACTATCGATAATTCACATTTTGCATCGCGATCGAGCAGTCATCGTATTTCAAGCATTGTGCCATATCATCAAAGGAGTGTTCAGAGGTGAACAGTCCAATAAAACGCTGGCGTTGTTTGCGAGGCCAACGTTTATGTCGGCCGTTTTAACCGGACTCTATTCGATAGTTAAGAAATACCGTATCACGTGGAAAGACTCTTATGAATCGGTTGGCCTGCTCAATTGCATGTTGTACTCCATTGAAGATCCCAATTTGTCACCGAGGGTAAGAGAAATTATTTTTTTTTTCTAATTTACGTATTTTATTTTTTTTTTGAATCGAAAATAATGATTATTTGGGATTTTGGAATTTATAGTTGGCAGTCGAAGCACTGAAGTTAGCACAACTATCGGTTGAACATTTTATGGCCCCAAATTTGGCACTACTAGTTGATACACTTTCTGGTTCGGATATGCAGAAGCTAGGACCAATGATTGTGAAACGATTACACGACAGTAACTGGGAAGTCAGAGACAGTGTTTTGGAACTGTTAACATCAATAGCAAACATATCGTTAATAAGTGAGTATCGAGTTATAGCTATGAGAATGAGAGTAGTTTATGTTGTTTTTAATGAATTTTATATGTGCCAAGATTTTCATTTTAATGATGAGAAATATTGAATCGGCGTTTTCGCAAAAATTGTTGGTCTTATCAAACTGTAGCCAATAAACGCATATCTGTTGGAGTAAAAAAAACGTTTCAAGATTGATTCACCGCTTGAAAACAAACTAGTTTTTCCAATGCAAAAAAACACACACCAATCTCAATCTCGCCCATAGATATTGATAATAATAATACCCATATTTGAGTTTAACAAAAATAAACCAAAAACACTAATTCGGTCCATTTCAGAATTCCCTGCATTCCAAGAGCACATTCTAAGCAATGGATTGTGTCCGCTTGTCGTAGATATAGCGAAAAATGATAGTGAATATTATGTGCGCGCATCGGCATTGAGCTGTATTTCACAAATGGTTCCAGTCAATATGTTTTGGGAGCAATGCTTCTCATCTCTTGATTTAATCGTAAGTTTTTTTGTTTTCAAATTTATCATCCTGCAGGATCCTCGTTGGATTTATTCAAGAAATTAACAAATATCTTGTTTTCTCCTTGCAGACATATTTGATCGAAATAGCAAAAACCGAATTCGAAGGTGTTGTTCGAAAGGAAGCGGTTTCGTTGATCACATGCATTTATGAGAATCAAAAGGTTCCGTCCAATCAATTGGAGACGATTTATGAAGCGCTTTCCGTTGCCGCCACCCATGATCTGTTCTGGGAGGTCAAAGTGAAGGCAATCGAATTTTGGCATTGTGTCATCAAACGGCAGTTACAGTATCAGGGAGTTATCGATGGAACGTTCCCATCGGTGACATTTTCAAAGGAAAATAAGAAAATTGTTATGCTAACACAAAAGGAAATCACATTGCGATTGACTAAGGTGTTGGTAAAACTGTCTACATTTGGTTGTTTAGGTGTTTTATTAGCGAGTTTAGAGGATCAAGACGATTTATTAGTGGTAAAGAAGGGCGTTAGTGTTATTAGATCATTAACCGAATTTCTCGATAAATACAATTACTGGGAAGAAGTGCGCGACAATCATTTCAGTTCCACCCGATCGATATCGAATGATTCATCAACAAGTGCAGGCACACCTACCACTTCAAAAGATATCGCAATGGATACCACAGAAAATAAATCGAAAGACGCCAGTATTTCAACTACAGCGAATGATTCAAAGGGTGATTTACCCAATTCAGATGATGTCATTCAAGCGATCGTCTCGGCACAAGATATTAATCTACTATCAAAAGCATATGAAAATCAAATGAACGTGGATGCAGACGATGAATCCAATAAAACAGAAGAGAATGCGGAATATTTTAAATGTTTGCGCAAAATAACGCCGGAAATATTCTTAGACACCATCAAAACAACCGATTTGAATCATTTACTCCAAACGAGAACCGAATGGCTTGCCCAAACTGAGAGCTTCTCTTCGCTCCTGAACGACATGTCGTACTCACTACAAGCACACGAACAACACGATGCCGACTGCTACTGAAACCATATTTCGCATTTATAAAATAGCCATTATGACCATTGAAGAGTCAGTAAATTTGTTACCTACAATTTTTTTTATCGAATATATTTTTTGAACTGGCCTAATTCAATGAAATAAAGATAGTTATACGCTTAAAAGGCTTGAGGTGTACTGAAAAAATGACATTTTAATGCTCAAATGAAACGAAAAGGCAGTTTTTTTTTCTTTCAAAAAATGACTTCGAAATAAAAATACTGTACAATGAAAAGATTTCGAATCATAAATGATTTAGTGAAATGTGTCTCAGAAATGATTCACAAATTCTTTGCTTAAACATCATAGACATCTTGATTAATATACCCAAAAGATACCAATTGATTCAATATACGCTAAACAGCTACTACGCTTGAGTCGTATAATTCATTCTACACTGTTTAAACGCTCGCTAAGTTGAAAATTCATCTGAAATAAAAATCGAACATCCATATGTTGAATAGAGATTACAATCAGAACGGTTCTACAGGGCAAGATGCGCCTATATCATATATAACATAAAAAACTAAAACATTTCTATTAACAATTCTGTTTGTGTTATTATTTTCTTCGAGGAATTGTGAAATCTAGCCGGTAATGGTATTGAGTTTCGATGAAATTCCCAGCATTCCCCTCCATCTGATGGCCTTAGTTATTGTTAAGCGCTCAAAACAAGTACAGTAAAACTTGTCAAAAACGGAATCCCATGGGGAAAATATTTTTTCCACAATTGACAAGAATTCCACTATTCAAAGGTTCCATTATTGACAGGTTTTTGAGTCGAACCAACATGATTTTCCATTATTGAGGGTAAAAAGAAACAAAAAAAACCAAAGCATGCATTTTTATGGGTGTTTAATGATCAAATCAAGTGATATAATAATCGTGAGAAGGAAATACTGAAATAAAAGTGTTTTTTAATAAATGAATGAAGGAAAGAACGAAAAATGAAAAAAAACAGTGAATGACAAACATTATTATTTAAAAAAATCAAGCAGTCTAAACAGTGACTCAAAATGAGAAAGTAAATTATACTTATTTTTTGCACTGCCAAAATGGCAGCGATTCTGCATTTCACGAAATGATTCCAAACTTACTGTAAATATACTGAATTGCACGCGCCAATCGAGTGGATGTGTTTTTATTGGGAACGTCAAAAATTTAATTGCAGGCAATAAGCAATGATTTTGGCAGACGAAAGTGATGGCATGATACTGAAATCAATGTAATGTACATTGTACTGCAGGATTTTTATGATGATCATTGGTTTTGATAAAGGAAAAAAATATAGTTTTAAATGGAAAAGACACAAAAGAACGAAAAAAAAATTTCGCCAAGAATTTTTTTCCACTATTCGGAGTTTCGGTTTTCCGTTATTAACAGGTCAATTTGTATGGGAGAGCTCAACGGCCAAATTTTTTTTCCACTATTGACACGATTTCCACTATTCCCAGGTTCCGTTATTGACAGGTTTTACTGTATCATTAACTAATCAGTTAATGAATCCAACACACGCTTGAAATGTACGGAATTGAAAAAAATCTCGTTCGCATACGGACGAAGATTATGAAATACAAAATAAAAAACAGTCGAAGTATATGCAGTGAAAGTGGCAGAATGCAATTTGCGTATGGCGGACATAAAATATATCTCATTAAGTTTAATCAATGATCTAATCGTTAGCATATATAAAATTATTTGGGTGCATGCCAATAATTCCAGCACGACTTGATCGATGTCAAATGTCTCTTCAACCAGACTTGGGCACTTCTGAAAGCCGTTCAATCAAACATTTACACACATTGACTACGGATTAGCACATAGCGTTTCATTTGCTAATCGTTCGCATACACATTTTGCAAACTCTATGCAATACTATTATAACTATAAGTAAGACATATGCAAAATCTATCTGCGAACGCATAGCGAATGAAGTTCTATGTGTTCTATTGTAGCAGAACTATGTGTAGAGATATTTTGTGTGTATTTTAATCATTTTTTATTCATTAATATGTCTCAACGGTTTTTTAGTTTCAATAGCATAATTCTTCAATTCGCATTTAAAAAAGTGGAAAATATGGTAAATATCAAAAACGAAACCTCCGTTTGGTGAGTAATTTGAATTTCTCCATCAAATTAAAAGAGAAACAGCACTGCGTATTCCTTACAGAAGACATGAGCCTGAAAAGATTTGAAAACCAATTAACACCTCTGAATGGACTCTATTATTATGTATCAAACTTACATTACACTCTTCCATCGTTTTCTTGGACGAACACCAATAGCTTGGTCCAAGTGTACACCCTTTTGCACCCAACAATCGGCTAGCCTTCGAGCCCTCATCAGAATTATTTGTTGTCAAATCGTCAAAATTGAAAATATCACTCACTTCGTTGAGATCACTTGATTGGTTTATTTCATCCTCTCCATTGAACTGGTCAGAGTTCACGTCATTTTCAGTATTAGAAAAAGCTAAATACCAACACAAAAAATCAATTGAAGATTAATGTCGTCAAGCCAACAAAACCGAAAAAAAATCTCCAAGCTTGATAATTGATCATAAAAGCCTACCTTCTTTAATTTCATGGAATACTCTGTCGTCTCCGTCCACAAAGCATTTTCCAATTTTTTCACACACTTCTGACTGTTTTTCGGATCTATTTAGAAGGATTGAAAGACTCACTCCGTAGACATCCATAAGTTCAATGCACTGCAATATGGGAATAAATTGTTTCATAATTGAAAACGGATAAAACAACTGGTTTTTTATTTCTTTTTTCAACATAAATATTTTTTCAAAATCCAACCTACCTCTTTTTGGTGTTTCAACGGAATTAAATTGCATGTTGTTTCAGAAACGACATCCATTTCCTTGGACCCATCATGCGAATAAACCGTAGCTAGTGCATCGACCACGGCACTACATACACCGCATTCAAGAATATCACGGTGGCTTGTGTCTTTTTTTACATCGGCACGGCAGAAGTTCAAGCCCAAGCATAGTTCTTTCGGTGAAGCAGACAAGAGGTAACTTATCGCCAATTCGGCATAGTTTTCAACGAAATCCTCACATTTGGCAGAGTACTTCTTTGGCACATATTTACAGACGGTGTGAATGGCATGATCGATCTGTTCGATTGTACTGTTCTCCCTCAACAAATCATCAAGATTCACAGCAATCATTTGACACACAACACATTGTGGTGTGTCGGAGTACTTTTTCATCATTTGACTAACGATTTGTTCGGTGGGGCTTGACGCGCAAAATTTCAAGCTCTTGCAAATTTGCTTCGGAGGCTGATTATTCATGAGCGCATTCACAATATAATCGTTATGATCTTGAACAAAAGCGAAACATTTCTTTTTCAAATCGTCATTGGTAATTGACCCACATTGTTCCTGCAGAACAGCCTCAACATGTTCCTGTGTGGAGGGAAGAAAAACGTTTGGATTTTATGAGCTGAATAATCAATAGCAAATTGAATTGGAAAAGCGAATTAAATGAGAACCTACCTTTGATCGGTCATTTCCCACTTTTGCTTCAACACCTTTCAATATGTGCTGGCACTCAAGACACTCCATAGGCGACATTTCTAGAGGAAAACGAATTAATCGGATTAATTTAAAACCAACGGAAAATGTTGTGTGTTTTGCAATACTTACGAATTTCATTTTGTTCTTGTTTCTCGGCAAGGCAAAGTCCGATAGCGCTGCAGATAAGTTTCGATGCTTCGCCCTTAATAATCGCGTCAATAATTTTATCACCATCCTTTTCGATGAATTTCTCGCATTTCTTCCGAAACTTTTTTTCGTGTACAATATGGCATGCATGGCTTAAAGCATCTTTAATATGTTCCTGCGAAAATCATGACAAAAGGAGGACTTAAGAAATGAAGTCATAAAATAAAAGTAAAATAAGCTCATGAAATTTTTCTCATGATGCGATCATACTCTTGATTTATCTCGTCCAATTTCCTTTTGAACTTTGTCCATCACTTTTTCACACAGTGAGCACTCGATCGAAGATAGTCCGTTCTCTGAATCGTTATCCTGATTCAATGGAACTGCATTGATCTCAAAAAGTTCGTCATCGAATTCCGATTGATATTCGTTCCAATATCCGATCGCAATTTCTTCGTCTGAGTCAATTGATTGTTGCATTTTCTTCGGGCAGAGTCCAATTTGCAAACATGCACTTTCTGGTTCCAATTTGTTTAAAATATTATAAATTTCATCGGAATGCTTATCGAACCAATCCAAACATTCCGTCTTCCCCACTTGCACATTTTTGCACAGGCCTTTGAGTATATTTTTGAATTCAGCTTTACTAGTTTTGTTTATGGATTTTCTGTAATTATAAAAAGGTAAGTTGATTAAATCCGTGTTTGCTTTTCTCGAATAGATTGCCATACTTCACATTGGTGAATAGTTCTGTACAGAGCGCGCATGGGATGTCTACCATTTCCGTATCAATAGAATCGATTTGTGGGATGAATTCATTATCACGCATCAACTGAATAATTCCAATGTGACCGATGGGTTTGGTGAGCACAATATCTTCCGATGGGTTACAATCGGCGCCACATTCGGTTTCCGGATCTAGGTATGCATACAAAGTACGTGATAATTGCGGTATAAAGATATCAACATGCATGTAACATGCTTCTTTAACATTCTCAAAGCGAATAGATTCACATGTGGTCTTTAGAAAATTCTTTAAATGTTCTGTACTTGAATCGCTTTTCAACTGTTCGCGTACAATTTGCACCAATTCGAAACAAATCTTACATTGCTTTTTATCATTATCGAACTTTGTTTGCCGTACATTCCAAACCATTTGATTACAATGTTCTACGGCGTTGCACGATTTCGCAATTCTGAAATAAAATTTGACAAGAAAAAAACGAGAGAATTGTGTGATAAATTCATTAAAATGATTATTTATATAAAATACATGCATTTTGCTCGTTTGCCTCATTTGCTAACCAACAATATCGTCGTATTTATCACAAAGCAACATACGAAACACTTCAAACGACCGATAAATGAACGCAGATGTTCAAGTATGGTTTTGTATTTATCGCACAATAGGTTTATTATAAGGCAGTGGCATAAACAACAATCAAGAACGATCACTCCGATAGCATGAAGTGTTTAGAAGAAAGAAATTGCGTATGCGCCAATGCACATATTGTTACGGAACGAATCAATGTGTCAACAAATATATGGCCGTTGAAATGATGAAAACAAATGAAATCAACAACGATTTCTTAGTCAATGCGCTGCGATCGTAGTTCAACATATGTGATCCGTTTATGATTTGAAGAAAAAAAAGTGTGTTAAGAGCGCAAAAAAAGCCTCAGTAATTGTCAAGTATAAGTTTTTCATTTTTATACCTGGCACAACAACAACAGTTAGCCGATAAATAGTTACAGAGTACAATGTGCGAAATTCACTGATAACTTGAAAAATGTTTCACTTTTTTTTATCGCGACTATTTTGCATAAATGTTTCGTAAAAACTGTACTTACGTTATGCTTTGACACCAATATTCCTGACCTTGGGAACATTTTAGTTTTAATTTAGTTTGAGCTATCGGCGACGCTTCAACTCCTGGAATAAATAAATAAATGGAGCTATGTTGAACACTATTTCATTCATGCAAAACAATTTTAAATTCTAAATTCTTTCAACTTTTGTATTTTTCTGTCCTATGGGATGGATTTACAAAATTACCACAAAAATCGAATAGATATAAAAACGAGTTAAATGGAAATTTCAACTGTAACGTACTGCAAACCACAAACACAACAAATGCAAACAGCAACGATCTCATGTTTCGCTAATGTTCTGCTTTCTTCTCTCGAATCTGTCAACACACTAAAGCATAACGAAACAAACGGCTGCTTATATATGCATGTCTGAAGATACTTAATCTCTGTTCGTTTCCTCTAGAGTGCAAAGATTCATCTTGTTTATGTTTTGAAACAGCATTGGCACGCGTATGTGTGAGTCACATCGATGGCCTTCCCCCGTTCCGACCGTTTGTACTCACTACTTGACCGTTTGTACTTACCCACTCATGGGGACTTTTTTCTTTTGACTAGCACCCCAAAAAGAAGAGTCTGAGATAACCGAATTTGGACAATTTGCATAAAAATGCTTCAGTTTGTGATGCGGTATCGATTGAAAGAGAAAAATGCGAGCAATTGCAACAACGAACAGGGAATTAGTTTGACTGATTTTTTTTACTAAGTATAATTTGCTTTCTGTTGTTTGTGACGTGAGCATTTTAACGACAGAGAATATTCAAATGTTCGGAGAGTGTGCGAAGTGTGTGTGCGAGAGTTTGTGAGTGTGGTAGAAAGAGTAAGGACTTATGCACGTCTCAGCGTAGTATTGTGAACATTCATTGGTCAACGAATATTTTGCTTCGAAACTAACGAATAAAATTTCGTTTTTTTTTCTCACTCTTTTACTTGAAACTTTTTTTTCCCATCTCTTATTTATTGATATGAATTTTGATGAAGAAAAAATAATTTTCCTACGCTCATTTCAATAAATATTTAATATTCATTACTAATCTCATCGCTCTAAAGTGAGAAGTGAGTTTTTCATCCACGTTCAAGCCTTATAATTCGCTAGAACAATGTCGTACAGAAGTTAAGCATATATATCGACTTCAATGGTTTATATTTGTTCGCCTTGCGGAGCATCGGTGGACCGGCACTTGTGTGTCGCGCGACAGTAGAAGGAAAGTTTCAATCGAAACTTACATGATACCGACAGTTACTAAACTTTTTTTCTTCATATTTTCGCAAGGATAGCTATTATATGAGATTGTCCAGTAATTTGCTACCGAATATAATGATACAAAATAATTCTATGTCGAATGTATTTCCCAGACAACGTCACAATTCAATCGAACGAAGACTCTTTTTATTTTTTTATTTCATTCAAAATGTTCAAATTAGCTATAACCAAATTGGTTAGACCAATGATAAAGATAAAACGGAAAATGGTATTTAATAATTTTATTTCAAATGATCGGTTAACACTTTAAATAATTTTATGTTGGCCAAAAGTAGAATCTTTGATGACAGCCCATTTATTACAATAGTCAAATGTCTGGCAAGAGAAAAAAAATGTAATTAAAATCCTTACGGATAACAAATGATTTCAATTGTTTTTTTTCCATACTCACATTGCATTTTTCCATAGCTTGTTTGGATGAACACCAATATGCTGGACCCCATGTACATTGATTGCCTCCGATTGGCTTATCATTGGCATCGTCACCATTATTATTTTTCACCGGATTTGATTCAGAAAACTCAAGCGGAATATTGATTTGACTCAGATCATCTGCAGTGGAATTCGATCCGCACAATGTCATATTGACGCACATTGCCCATGGTGTTATTTTATCAATCAGAAGCGCTTTTGGAATGTCGTCCACATGTGAATTAACATAATCGTGGCATTTCTGTTTCAGGTCTGACTCATCAATAAAATAACATACATATCTCACTGTGTCGACAGCGAACTAAAAGAAGCAATTTGGTCGATGAAATTTTTTTTTTTCAATAAATGATTGAACTCAAAATGGTTTCATGTTTTACCTGTGCCCGCATATCTTCAGGCAATTCATTTATCTTTTCTGAACCGCTTATCACATTAAGGCACAATTGGCAATATTTGTCAGCATCTCCAAAATTTGGTGTATGATTGTTCGTTAATTGGTTTTTGTCGACATCAAACTTTGTTACTGGTGATGAGTTCACACCTGCAAAAGGGTAAGACTGAAGTTATACTAATCTCTACTTAAAATGTGCTCTATAAAACAATTTCACGTCTTTATCACTGGATAAGTGTGTTACTTATGAAACATAAGCAGACAAAGTGACTGAATTGAGATGGATTAACACAATTAGGAATTTCGAAGTTTTTAAAAATCTCAACAGCTTACTGCAAACTATTGATAGGCCGAGTGCCAGAAGTAACGACTTCATGCTTTATTCTGGTTTTTATTGTTGTTTCTCTGTCTGGCTGTGTTCAAACTGAAATAAAACAATTGAGTAATGACTTATATGTACTACTCATGATCTTAATCCCCACTCGTATTCCTTTGGAATGTTAACAGCCATATTTGTGTGAAAAGCAATGCTAATAATAGAAAAAATTCCTTCAAGAATAGCAAAAATTTATCAATTTGTAGTTCCATTTCTTGGAAAATATTGACTAATGGTTTTTTTTTCTCGAGTTTTCAAGAGAAATATTTCAACAATTTGTTTTCGTGTACAGAAGAAATTACGCCGCTGTGAATATGCGCCTATGCACCTATGTGCCTATGTGCCTGTTAGAATAGTAAGGACAGTAGGGAATAAGGGAATTGATAATAATTTAGCTATTTGTTTGTCTCCTAAGTTACCTAGCATCTTGTTTAGCTGTTTCAGTAAGCAATATGCTGGTTCCGTCTACTTCATAGGCATAGGAAATCATTTTATTGCACTCACCAGTGTTCATCGCAATAGACCACTTGTTGCCACAAGAAAAATATTAGTAGCCATGGGCCACGGAATTCCTATTTGAAATTTCTCCTTGATACGCAAGACAAAACCAGAAGGAAGAGCAACATTGTGGCAATGACAATAAAATCAGTAGCTTGTTCATTGAATTTTCGTTGCTACGTAATTTTTTTTACATAAACATTTGATAAAATTCTGATTATGCTCTCATTTTTTTTATTCATGGCGATATTTTTCACATGTACATTTGTTTCGATTGGATCAGAAGCTCTGGATGAATCATGTTGATTGTCGAATCTTGTTTGTATACCAATGATGCGGCATTATCTATAAGCATCCCAGATCGCCCGGATAAATCCGGGTTTGCCCGGATTTTCATGGCGAAACCCGGCCAAAAATCGCCCGGCCCGGATGCCCGGATATTGCCAAATTTACCCGGATTTCGCCCGGACATTTCAAAGGAATAGTCCCGATATTTGCTCTTGTTTTTCAAAAATTTTCATTATTTTCTCATTTTTCCACAATCATAAATGCAATATTCTTTTTTCTTCCGAAAATGATAATTGTCTCAGTCTATTCCGAACAGTATTTGAAACCGTTTAATCAAAATTCAAAATTCTGTACTCAAATGAAATAAATTCATTCATTGACACTTCAAACATAAGAAAATGATTGACGACTTCGATATTGTGTTCAATATTTTATTGGTGTTTGTGTAATTACTATAAACAATTAGCAATATGAGTACATCGACGTCGCGAACAAATGCATATCAGTTTGCATTTGGTTGTCGTCACGATCGGATTAAAACAGAAACAAAAACAAAAAGTGAAAATGCCGGGTGGCAAAAGCGGAGCATGTATTTGGAATGAAGAATACGCCAACCGAAGGGTTGTAACAGTGACATGATCGGCACATGAGCACCATCTCTACTGATTGCCATTATTGTAATGTAAATGTATAGAATGTCGGTTTCTTCTTCTTTTTCTCAACATCAATTGCATACGACTTATGGTAACTCTCCGTAATCATTAGAGGTGGCGCTACTTATGCGCATCAATTGACTTTTGCATTAGCTCTTATGTACTATGCGTGTCTTTTGACGCCAACGTCTATCCAGGTATCACAAAGGCAAAAAATGGCAAACTGTTCCTATGTTTTCATTTTTTGTGCGTTTGGCGCTTACTTTAAAGCGATTCGGCCCGGGAAAAATTTGAATTTCGCCCGGATTTTTGAGTGAAATTTTCGAGACTCATCGCCCGGATATTGCCCGGATTTCTCGGAAATTCACCCGGATTTGCCCGGCTTGGATCGCTTCGAAAAAAAAATCTGGGATGCTTACATCATCACATTCACTTGGGATTTGATATTTCGTTGATGGGCTACCCAACAAAATGAAGACAACTAAAAGGCCGAAACAGCAAAACGCTGAAAAAAATATCCAAATTTTGTATTTGGAATTTTTTTCCGACGTTTTGCTGTTTCAGCCTCTTTGTTTTCTTTATTTTGTGTGGTTGATAAACGAAGAGATTGGTTTGCTAAATGAAACAAGTTATAGAGACGTTTGCTATCCGATTACAATTTTCTTAATACTCAAAGACATTGTACCAAAATTGCTTTGTATATTCGGTTCCACATACGTTTTTGAGGCTTCATTCGCTTGTTCCACATGCATTAATTTAATATTATTATCTCAACAAAATTTTGGGCTCTGAACGTTTTTTAACTATGCACATCTTTTCTTCCTTTTTTTTCAAAATGTGGCCATTGATTCGATCTCATGGCCACAAAATAGGCCACGCTGAAAAAGAGTTTGGACAGCAATACCATACATGATGAATATTTCAAGCACGAATATAAACATCTTCATGGATTGGTTTGTTTTCTACTTACTTCGTTTGTCTCAGTTCACAAAAATATACCAATCATGCACTGAGAAAAAGTTGACAAGTGCGGAAATGCTGTCAATATTCCAACCATGGTTGGACAATTCACAAAATCGTCTGCAATGACAACATTTACAACGCAGGGTTGGAATATTTCCTTCCAGCTTTTTCTTAGTGTGCAGTTTGCTCACTAGTTATTCATCATAGAAACTTTCCTTGTGAAACGACATATTCTTTTATTTTAACCATTGTGAAGATCTCATACACTACCATCAAAGATCGCGATCATTCAGTGTTGACCTTTTGGATCAGCAAAGGAACGGTAATCAGTGCCATAAATGAAAGGCTTCAAATCCTTTTTGAATACTTTGCAGGGATTATATATTCTTGGCACATAAGATTGTCTCGTCTGCGATCTCCTATATTATTGATACAGAAAACATGCTGATGCTGTGGTGTCAATCAATTTTTATTTTATTTTTTTCTTCTCAAACATTGGAACATGAGAATTGCAATTTAATTTGGGATGACACTCCAATAACCAAGATTGCAAGGATCAAAAGCGGTACAAAGTTCTCTTGGTGTTCCATTTCTTTTCAGGATTGGAACGATTTTATGTTTTATATCCTCATATTTGTCTAAGCAAAAAGAGCTTACGGGCCATGGAGCAGCATTGCATATTTTTCTTGCTACTTCTCCGCATTTTGCCTATTGAATCCGTTTACATGGTAAGAAGACAAAAGAAAGAAGCTCAATTAATTCACTGATTATTACTAATAACTCAGAACGTTTGCAAGCGTACCGATGTCGGGTTCTTTCCAACCATGCCAATAATCCACTTTGCTACTTCTATACAGTCAGAACAAAACATGCCTAAGTTTTGCGCAAAACCCATCAAATCCTGACAAGGGAAAGAATGGTATGATCTAGCCTTAGTCTGAATTCGGCATAGATTAGAGTCACCTTCTATATAATCGCCACCATCAAGTGCGGCTGCATAGCAGTAGCTATAATTGATATATAGAAAAATTTGCACCCAAAGTATGGATCATTCAATTGAAAAGTAAAATATTTTGATCAGGGGGTTTGTAGATTGAAACACAAGCACACTAGCGCCGCAGTTTGCCCTACAATATCATATACGGCAAACTGCAGAACTATTCATTCAGTATATATCATGCAGCTTAACTGTCAATCTGTAATCCCCCTGATTTTGATAGAAATGGAAACAATTCCTTTGGATTTAATAGAATGACAATGGGCAATTTTACCAATAATTAAATAGAAAACGTAAACAAACGATTTTTAATGTAGAATTGCTTACCTACAAAACAACAACACAATGCAAAAAGTGAAAATGAAGTGTTTCATGTTTGATTTTCTCTGGAATACGATTGGATACTAACGTTTTCACTGGTAGAAACACTCTATATATTAAGATACGAGGAGAGAGACATATCATATTTTGCCATCTTAATTAAAATTGACCAATATCAAAATCGGTATTTCGTAAATTCATTTTCATTTGTAGTTGGAAATAAATTTTGAACGCTTCAAAATTTGAATTGATTTTAACATTTTTAGTTACATTATACTAAAGAAAAGTATTTAATTAAAACATCAATTTATTTAAATTCAAAATCAGCGCAAAAGGAAATGCTTAATGAATTTGTAACATTCATTGCTCGAGTATATGTATTGGTCTACGATTTAAACTTTCGTAGGGGAATGTAACCGATTGTAGGACGGGTTTTGAATTTTTGGCAAAAACAATTCTATCCAATACTTTTTCGAATTCTATATATACTGTTCTAAAGATAATGACAAAAATCTAATCAGAATATCTCTAACTGTGGTATAATATTATTTCTTTGCACAACGAATGTCAAATCGTTTCAATACATTGAATTTTAGAAATAAAAGTCAATTACGTTTTGCATTTTATTTGTATTTTATAAGGATATTTTGCATTGAACATAATCACTGTTTAAACATCATTCAATTAAAAAATATGCCAAATTGTTTGCAATCTATGTTTAGAATCTAAATCTATTGTTTGCAATCGAATTTAGAAATATTCTCTCATAATAACTTGTTAAATCCGAAAATATACATAAACTGTGTTCGAATTGAAGATTTAAATTATGACTACCATACATTCCGTGGTTGAGCTCTCCCCGAATTATATAATGAGCTCAAATTGTTTGATTTCACGTTTATGTGTTCTGTATGTGTGTGTGTGTGTGTGTTTGTATATCTGTATCTTTTCTGATGCGAAAAAGAAAGCTGAATGTTTTTTTTTTGTATCTCTTGTCTTCTCGTGTCCATATATGGAACAGGGATTCGAAGATTTAATCTTCAAGTGTGACATTTTTGAATAGGTAAGACATTGATTCCTTGTTATGAATTCTACGAATGGCTTCAGCCAACAGTACCGATATGTCGACCGTTTTGATTTTGTGACACTGCATCTTCTGAATTTCATGCGGAACTGTGTTGGTCACCACCACTTCGTCGATCGGTGATTCTTCAATTAAACGTGGTGCATCCGAACTGAGCAAACCATGTGTGGCCAACACATAAATCTTGTATGCACCGCGCTCTTTCAACACTTCGGCTGCCGCAACAAATGATGCCACATCGTCAATCATGTCATCCTATCGATGAGAAAAGAACGACCGTTAAAAAATCAGAACAACTTGTTGATCGATTGGCAAATAAATTTAAGTTCAATTGTACCGACCACATGAGAAAAAATGAAGAAAGAAAATATTTATTAAAAAATAAAATTGTATGAAAAACACCTCAGTCTAAGCTGAATTTCAATTATCCAAGGCGTAAAATGGCAAATTTCAATTCCAATTCAATATCAATGTCTCAACTCACCACCATGATTGCAATTCGACCACCAACATCTCCGACCACATTGATTGGTGGTTTCTCCTTGGCTGGATGAACCGGTACGCCGACGGAAACGTCCATTGTTCGTGATCGGCTGTAAGATCAACCATCGTATGATTAAAATAAAGAAAATAGTGAATTTATTGTTTGGTTAATGCACCATGGTAGAGTTGGTGGCGAGTAGCGTCCATCGATTTCATCACTTTCTGATTCCTTTTGTTCTCCATGAATGACGGCAATGCCTAAACGCAAGCGTTCAGCATATGAAGTGGCTTTCTTTGCGGAACCTGGATTCCTGGCCACAATGACCGAATTACGATAATCTGGGATCTAGATCGAAAAAACGAATGCATTTTGATATCAGCTGAACATTGGATGTCACCGTAGGAAAGAAGGAAAAACAGAATATATATATGGTAAACGTACGCTTTCTTGGATATATTGGAGTAAAAATGGTGAAGCTCGTAAGTTGTCAACTGGACAATCGAAAAAACCTTGAATTTCCTTTTGATGAAGGTCCATGGTGATGATGTGAGATAAACCGGATTTGCACATCATCTAAAACAAAGTGTATTTACAACAACAAAAACAATGTTTTGAATAAACACGTATGCGTACACATAAAATACGGCGTCTGTTTGCAGTGCAAACAAAACAAATGATAAACAAACCTTAGCCAATAATTTGGACACGATGCAGCCACGTTTTCGCATTTTGCATTGTTTCGAATAGGGTAAATATGGAATTACACCAACAATTGACCTGGCTGATGATGTTTTGCAAGCATATGCCATTATAAGAAGCTCCATAATATTGTTATTGACGTCTCTGTGGAGAAATGTCAAAAAACCGCATGATAAAAAAATGCTTTCAACTAGCACAAGCACAATAACAACAACAACAACAACCAACGTAAAGGTTTCATTTTAACGAAAAATAAAGTGTATTTTGCTATGATTACTTTGTTCCGGTTTGAATGATGTAGATATCTTTGCCACGTATCGAATCGCCGATTTCAACCATTGTCTCACGATTAGTTTTGTGATAAACCGATGCGCCGCCACTTTTTACACCCAATCGACTGTATGTAATCGACGAACAAATGGAAAGAAAATAATTTATAACTATCAATTCAGATATAGATAATACGGTTAAAATGATTGGTTGCTATGGTTTGTTTACAATTGTCACAAGAGAGAAGAAAAAATGAAGGAAAAAAAATCCAGTCGGAAAATGTGTCTTACCCAGCAATTAAATTGGCCAATTCTGGATGAGAATTTCCATGCACAAGAACGACATCAGATGATGGCAACGATTCCATGGCGCCCGATTTTAATTTCTTCAACGGCAGTAAATTACCAAATCTACAAATGAAGAACGAACAAAAAAAACAACGAAATCAATCACCTCAATAGCGTAAAAATAGAACGCATCGACATCTTGCAAATGCGGTAAAAAAAAACATCAATCGCAAATTGTCTATATCTAATAGTTGGTTATCATGTTTGCCCCTATTTTTTTACGCACTTTCGTATTGAAATCGGAAAAGAAGTTTGATTCAATTTTCTTTTTCATACAATTTTGGATTATGATTTTAAAACACATACAAATATTTACTTATTTCGATTAAGTGGCATCCGTTAAATTTGTACTACAATAAAAAAAAAAATAATGACGATAAAGTTGTGATGAGGGAGTTTTGCGCCGTGTATTTTTCGCCCGAACAATTTCAAGTGAAGAGAAAATTGCATGAAGACACAAGCCCAGCGAAAATAGTCGAAAATTACTAGATGTCAAGATAACACACTCACACATACACACGCATACCAACAGTCATATGATATACACACGGAGAAACATGAAGCACCACAATGAAAACAACGCAATGGATAAATTTCTGTCAACGTTCACCGAGAAAAAATGGCCACCGCATCAATGCCATCTGTTGATAATTTGACACCATCGAATTCAAAGCTTGTACACTGTCATTTGCCAGCATGTGAATGAAGTTCGGTAAGATTCAAACATTTGATTGTTTCGTTGAAAGTCCTTCTGTAAGTTAATACTTCTTTTCTGTGGCTTCGTTGAAATTTTCATGAAATACTAACCGAACACAGATGCTGTGTGAGTAAGGTCATAAAAAAAACGGGTGGTTTATCAAACGGAGATTGTGTGAAATCTGAATCAAGATTTTGACTTATGTTATGAATCATATGAATCGATTGGCATGAGTAATATAGTATGTGAAAAAAACAATATATATGAGTATATATATAGTATGAGCGCAGAGATTTGTTTTTTTTTAGTCATGTGTATGACTTTCCTACGGATGAGTTTAATTTTAAGAGAAATTTCAAATCTTAATTACTCTTTTGCACGCACATAATCATATTGAACCAAGATTGAAGGTGCACAATTTGTCCGCTCCTATTTGAATTCTCAAGAAATTATTCAAATGAACATCGAGCACCTATTTCAAATCATTCATACTCAACATTTTGGTCATTACAATGACCTATGATGCTTGAGTTTTCGAGAATGAAATGAAAAGAAAAAAAAGCAATCTCTGCGTTTCAATTTTCCCGCGTGCGTCATCATATTCATTATCATAAATAAAAAGTAACAAGAACTTAAATTGCTTGCAATTATTTGAATCGTTCAATTTGTAAGCCTCCCGCACTGTGATCGTTGCTGCCGATGGAAATGTGCTAAAGTTAAATAACACCTTGTATCCTAACGAATAAGACGTTGAAAGATGGAATTTGTGTGCTGAACTTATTGTTTCGTATGATTTCTTATGCATTAATGCGCCGTTTGCCTATTAGGTGGAAGATGTTGTTTTTCCTTGGTGCGTGTCATGCTTTATCCCCAATAAAGAAACAAGCATTAAATAGAGCGTCGTCGGAAAAAGAAAACAAAGCAACAAAAAAAACTAGACCGAAAAAAAACCAATGGAGAAAAATATTATTTATATTTTGCGGTGTGCAATCTTTTAATACATTATGCATGAGCTTTGCTGTTTGCTTGGGGTTGTCGTCGACACAATTTTTCCTCTGCATGTATTCATTTCACGGACCTATTCTCGCTGTGTCTCTCGGTCTCTTTCTTCCTTTTTCTCGTGTCGTCGTTAGCATACAGAGCATACGGTGTGTGTGTGTGTGTGTGGCAGAGGGTAGAAAACATTTACCTTCACCTCGACCGTAAATGTGCCATGAAACGAATAAATATATCGTAAAGCATTTTTAAACACGACGGCGACAGCTTCCACCCAAGACGATGAGATAAAGTAGCAATGGAGAGAAGAAAAAAAACACCAACGAGCAAAGGTATGCCCAAGTTTTTTCTTGGGAATTTGTACGTGAGATTTGGCATTGTGGTCTTTGTGTTGAGCATGTGTCATGCTCTTCCACCGCTATTTGAAATTATTAAAACAAAAACAAAACAGAAACCCACAAACAACACGGAGAAGGAAAAGCCAACAAGAACAACAACAGACAGCAAGTACGTGGCAAGGGACCATGGACCAACGAACGATGAGAAGAAGAAGAAGAAGAAGAAGAAGGAGAACGAGAGAAGAAAAAAGTGAATGCAAATCAAATATAAATGTTCAAGGTGAAAAGTTATGAATTGTGAAAAATGATTTGTTCACAAATTGGGGAGCAGATTAAATAGCATTTTGTCGTTGAGTCATAAAAATGAGAAGAACATCACGGAATTTCATTCAAATAGAATGCGGCGGGTGGGTATAAGGTTGACATCATTCGCATGGAAATGACACATTTTCATTCGGTTTCGTTCTTTTCACTCACCATTTCTCTCTCTCTCTCTCTCTCTCTCTCTCTCTCTCTCTCTCTCTCTCT